TTACTGGCCCACTCGCCCCACATGGGTTCCGGATCGTTCAGCGACATCAAATGGAAGACATTGGGGACGCAGAGATCACTGCTTGGCCAGGGGCCCCACCTCCTCATCCAAATGACTTGGTCATGGGCGTGCACAAGTACATGTCAGATGCCCAACCGTATCAGGTTTGTTTGCTGGTGCCTGCAGCTGAAATTGATGATGTGAGAAGATCATTATCGTTGCAGCCATCTGGCAACCAGTTGAGGAAGCACATGCCAGTGAAAGAGCGAGAGGATATTGTGAAGAAAGCAGAGCAATGCCATCTGAAAGGGGGCATACACAAAGATGCTTTGGATTTTTTGATTGGATGGGCCAAAGGAACAAAGCGCCGTGACCCAAGGTTGCAGCATTACAGTTTTTTGGACCATCGGTACAATTCCACGCCAGAAAATGCTGCGCCAAGACGATATCTGCAAGGCCAGCATCACAGGCTGAGACATATTGTCGTCCTGCAGCATGACTTGTCGCAATCCGTGCCTTGGCTTTTAAGCTTCAAAATGTTTTTCTTGGTTAAAAACTTGTTTCTTAAAAGGCACGTTTTTCAACCAAGATTTGCTGTGTTCAGATTTGGCTTGATGGTGTGTCCTGGTCTCCCAGGCTGAGCGTCCAAATGATGATGAGAACGATGACGATGTCCTTGAAATTCAGCCAGATGTTTGATGCCAGTTGGTATTGGATGCGAGTAGTAGATGTTTGATGTCAGCTGCCAGTTTGCTGCGTGGAAAACGGACGTCGCGCAACCTTCTAAGCAGTCAACTGCTTCGGATACCTTCTTTCTCATGTGTCTTTTGCATGTTGAACTCACTGTTTGCTGACTTTTCTTCAGGGTTTGTCTTCAGGATCAATGCATTGTTTGTTTCGACGGCTGATTTGCGCACTAAGCATGTCAACTGGCATCTTGAACAACTTGCAACTGACGGCTTGAACAACTTGCATTCCGAACTGACAGTTTTTGCTGATATTTTCTTTGTCAAATGACATTTCCACAAATCGAATATCTCGTTCGCATTCTCAACTGACAACAAGTGCAAACGTTTCCAGCTTTGTGTTGATTCAGGATGCTGGGTGGAATCTGCAAGCGGGCAGCTGTCAGATGACACTGGTGCCAGTTGTTTGGTTATGTTTGGTTGCTCTCTTTTCACATGTGGGCTCTGTTTGGCCACATGCAGGCGGTGGTGATTCGGATGCCAATAATTTGGCTCAAGTTTCTTGCCCCTGAGCTGGTGTTTTTTGACGCTCAACTTTAAACATGGCTAAAGAATGGCAGGTCATGATGGTGACTTTCATTATGTCAAAAATGCTGAAGATGAACGATGTGCAGCGAGAGGACTTCTCAGAAGAGTTGGAGAATTTGAGAGAAGTGATTCGTTCTGTTTTGACTGTTTGTGGAGAACGCCTGGTGTGTCTAAGTGACCTCTGGACCTTGCTCACAGCCTGCAGATGCCTCCAGGATCAGGTTAACCTGGCAAAAATCATACCATCTGAGGGCCAAATCAAAGTGGTCTTGGACGGAAATCCAAGTACTGGAGCTGCCCCAGCTGCTTCGCTTGGGACGTTTGATGAACTTCGTCTTTGCCCTTACCGAACAGTTCTTCATGCTGACATGATGGCCGCCATCCAGTGTGCAAAAAGCCTGTGCAAGCTAGAAGTCCAATCAGATGAGTTTCAGCAAGCACTACTTTTCCTCCAGGACACCCACGCTTTCCTTCGCATTTTGTTGCAGCTGGAAAAGAAATCAGGTGATGGATGCTCAGACAGTGAGACGCCATGAATGATTAGATTAGTTGCCTGAATGTCAGTTGGTTTAGTGCCAGATGTCGCTTACTTTTATCATGGGAAAACGAAATGGTGCTGCATTTTGTTGTCTAGTTGTGGAACGTCATTTGCAAGACTGACTTTTCCATGCCCTCTTTTAAGTTATCATGATTGTTTGCAACTGCCATCAAGCAAAATTTAAGATCTCAGCATGTGACATGTCGCAACCTAACATCATGCAAGAGATGCGTCAACAGTTTTGTTCACTTAAGGTTGTTCCCTCTGAAAGTTTTCATTTCACTGTTGATCTGTTTCGTGCGAAAAGCTGTGAACTGCAGGCAACACATTGTACACTCTTTCCAGACTAAAGGTCATTGCGTCTTCAACTTGGATCAATGCATTGTTTGTTTCGACGGCTGATTTGCGCACTAAGCATGTCAACTGGCATCTTGAACAACTTGCAACTGACGGCTTGAACAACTTGCATTCCGAACTGACAGTTTTTGCTGATATTTTTTTTGGTCAAATGACATCAACACAACTCGCATATCTCGTTCGCATTCTCAACTGACCACAAGTCCAAACGTTTCCAGCTTTGTGTTGATTCAGGATGCTGGGTGGAATCTGCACTTCAACCAGTGAAGGGCAAGTTGTTCTTCTGCAGGCTGGCAGCTGTCAGATGGCACTGGTGCCAGTTGTTTGGTTGCTCTCTTTTCACATGTGGGCTCTGTTTGGCCACATGCAGGCGGTGGTGATTCGGATGCCAATAATTTGGCTCAAGTTTCTTGCTCCTGAGCTGGTGTTCAACTTCAACATGGCTAAAGAATGGCAGGTCATGATGGTGACATTCATTCTGTCAAAGACCCTGAACATGGGCAATGTGCAGCGAAGGTACTTCTTAGATGATTTGGATAATTTGAGAGACGTGGTCGCTTCCATCTTGACTTATTGTGGAGAACGGCTGGTGTCACTATCTGAACTCTGGAGTTTGCTCACAGCCTGCAAATGCCTCCAGGATCAGGTTAGCCTGGCAACAACCATACCAGCTAAGGACCAAATCACATTTGTCTTGGACGAATATCCAACTACTGGAGCTGCTCGAATGGCTGCGCTTGGGGGTCTTCATGAACTTCGCCTTTGCCCTTACCGAGCGGCTCTTTGTGACGACATGCTGGCTGGAATCCGTTTCGCACAGAGCCTGAGGGATCAAGGATGCAATTCACATGAGTTTCAGCAAGTGCAGTTGTTCCTTGCGGATGCCCAAGAATACCTTTTCGTTCTTGGACAATTGGACACTATGAACGATTAGTTGTCTGAATGTCAGTTGATAGATGCAAGATGACATTTTTGAGCAGCCTGGGCTGAATTTTGATTCAAGGAAAAAAGTGCCACTGCATGTTGTTGTGATTAGACTACTATAGGATATTAGTTGAAGATTATTCCACATGGAAAGGCTATTGGATTGGCTGGCCTCAGGCATAATAAACCCTGTGATGATGCACTGACCTTAGTTAAAGTCTTCTTTCGTGCAGTCATTGTGTTTTTTCGAGGCATGCCAGACATGTTTGCTTGCCTGAGGTTGCCCCGTTGCCCCGTTGCCCCCTGTGAAGCCTGAGCTTGAGGTCGCTGTGTCTTCGACTCAGGCTCATAGATTGCCTTTTCTTGATATCCTCAACCACTGGCACATTCCCCTCTGACACATTCCATCTGACACATTCCCATCTGACACATTCCAACTGGCAGTTGAAAGTTTGTTTTTTGCAGTTCCCTGAGACCTTTCTCAAAGCTACTGTATTCATGCTTTGCCTACGTCATGTGAAAATGATCAAACACCTCCTTTTCAGTCGATGCCCTAAAGTTCTACCAATGAAAACAAAAAAACGCAGTGTCTACACTGTCCCATTCAGGTTCCACCCCAAATCTGGTCATCTAAGGAACTGCATCCTGGCGATTCCCGAGTGGTGGGGCCCGTGTGGCCAGGTGTTAGTTAGACGTCATTATATAATTGGTCCATAAACTAAATGCATCACTTGGTACATCAAGTGTTTGTTCACTTGGCTGTCAGCCAAGGACACGTTTCACCATTCATCCCCTTGTTTTGCGACGCACGATCTGACAACATGATCATCTGACAACAAACACACTATCAACTTCATGCTGTTCTGTGCATGAAATCGAATTGCGAAGCAAACATCAATAATTCTGGTGTCAGATTAGCATCATGTGGGTTCACAATGAAATCATTCGCTGTCACATCAAAATGCATTGTTTTCTTATACAACTATCAACCATCAACCAGCTGGAATGGAATCATCTCATTCAAAAAATCCTACAGCTTCTATGTGGAGATACCGAATGTTTCAGCAAACGAAAATATCTCGACTATGATGACGTTTTAACGCAAAGTTGTTTTAACGCAAAGTTGTTGAATGCAGAGCAGATTCTGCCAGTTTGTGAAAATTGAATGTTTTTGCAATATTTTTCCTGCTCGTTTAAAAACATTTGAGCAGGTGCAAAATGTTTTTGAACACTGAAAAAATCTGGCATTTGAAAGACAGTGCTGATAAATTTGAAACATCGATTTGGATTTGCTTTATTTGAAGAAGAAAGGTTCTGACATCAGAGCACTACTGCAGCTGATAGCATGATGAAATCCACAGAATTCAACAGGGGGTAGCCAACTATGAAACCCCTTTGCATTGCAGCAGGTGGGGGCAGTCAGTACCACAGCAGGTGGCAAGAAGAAATCCATAGTATTCAACAGAGGTAGCCAACTATGAAGCCCCTTTGCATTGCAGCAAATAGGAGCAGTCCGTGCCACAGAAGGTGGCAAGACGAAACCCATAGTATTCAACAGAGGGTAACCCAACTATGAAGCCCCTTTGCATTGCAGCAAATAGGAGCAGTCTGTGCCACAGAAGGTGGCAAGAAGAAACCCATAGCATTCAACAGAGGGTAGCCAACTATGAAGCCCCCAAATGCAAATGAAACCCCCAAATGCCATGCCCATGGCTTATTGCCCACAAGAGCAACTTGCCATCACACAGCAGCTTATAGATGCAGGTTGGCAAGAAGTACAAACCCTAGAGTACTTGCGAAGTGGGCGACTGCCATGTTGCACCAGTAAAGGGAAAACACAGATAGACCACCTCTGGCTATCCCCTGAACTTGCTGCTGCCTTTCGAGGACTTGAAGTTGTTCATGACATGTTTCCAGACCATGTTGTGCTCAAAGCGACCTTTGATGGAGCTGCCAACCAGTTTATCAGGTACATTTGGCCGACACCACAGCCAGTCCCTTGGCAACATGTGCCTGACCTTGCCCAGCCTGTTGACTTTCAACATGCCTCACCCACTGAGCAGTATGCCAACCTTTGGAACATGCGTGAAAGCTCTGCTAGTGATGCGTTGAAACATGCATGGCAGCCCAACATGCAAGGGCGTGGCCAACGCACTGCCACCACCATCCGCCGTGGATGGCCTGCACCACCGAAACAGGGCCGCAGTTTTGACCCACAACCCACCTTCATGGGTTATGATGTGCAGCACGCTCGGTGGTTGCGACAGCTGCGCCGCTTGGTCAACTACCACCAATGGGCCAAATGCCACTGGCAGTATGCATCCGTTGCTACTTGGACTCATGGACTTTTGCTTTGGCGTAGCATTTTGGATGCCACAGGTTTTGGACTTTCGTTCTCAAAATGGTGGTTGGGCAGAAGTTGTTTTGGGTTAGATGACCCTGGATGTGTTCCATGTTACCCGCCTGCACCTGAAGTGGCCTTGCAACTTTGTGAGTGTTTTCAATGCGAAGTGCGGGCTCTTGAAAGACGACTGCACCAAGCCAAGCTGTCCAGCAGGAGGCAAGCACACCTGCACAACCCCAAGTTGATTTTCAAGGACACGAAACGTCCGCCGCCTGAGCCTGTTACTTCCCTTTTAGCGCAGAGTAGCTCAGTGGTTGTGGAAGTTGATGAAACGGATGTTGCAGTGGTGATTGAGCCACCTTGTCAGTTTGACGACAGCCGCCCAGTAGTGCTAGACACTGTTCCTGTGCAAGTGATCCATGCCACAGACACCAAACTGTACTTGACATCGGTCCAAGATGCCATGGTTGGAACAAATGTCACGCAGTCCAGTCCTGTAGGAGCCCTTGATGCAGTGTTTGAAGCGTTTCATGAGCAATGGAAAAAGCGTTGGTGCCGCCATGATGAGGTGCCCACTTCTCACTGGCAAACTTTGGTTGACTTTGCTAGAGCCACCATGCCACAATGGTTCATGCCACCGCTTGAGATCAGCCCGGAGCTCCTTTTGGCAGAGGTCACACATAAGAAACCCACTGCCGCCACGGGTATGGATGGAGTGTCACGCCGTGACTTGGTAGCTGCAGGCCCAAACCAGCTGTCCAGTTTTTGCAGCCTCTTTGCAAGAGCATCTCGTGATGGTGCCTGGCCACTTCAAATTGTGACAGGCAAAGTCGCCAGCTTAGCCAAAAAGCCCCAGCCGCTTGGCACGGGCGACTACCGGCCCATCACAGTTTTCAGTTTGCTGTACAGATGCTTCAGCTCCCTGCAGGCTAGGCACCTGCTGGCCAAAGCCGATGAATGGTGTCACCCAGACATCCATGGCAACAGGAAAAGCCACCAAACGGCTCACCTTTGGCGCAGTTTGGTGGACCAAATACAGTGTGCCTATGACCAAGACCAGAGCTTGAGTGGCCTAACAGCCGATATAGAGAAAGCATTCAATTGCTTGCCAAGGTACCCAGTTTTGGCCATGGCTCTCCACGTCGGCACCCCCTTTGAAGTCATGACAGCATGGACCGGAGCCCTTGCGTCAATGGTCAGAAGGTTCAAGGTTCGTGATAGCTTCAGCAAGGGCTTTACCACCAGCACCGGACTTGCCGAAGGTTGCGCCTTAAGCTGCTACGGAATGTTACTGCTTGATGATGTTATGCACAGGTATGTTCATGCCCAATGCCCACAAATCAGGGTGCTCAGTTTTGTGGATAACTGGGATTTCCTCACCTGGGACCCAGCATGTGCCACCCGACAGATGGATGTCTTGCAGGCCTTTGCCTCCCTGACAGACCTGACAGTCGACAGGCAAAAAACGTTCGGCTGGTCTACCAGTTCACTGGTTAGGGGGCAGTTCCGCAGTGTTGGCATCCCTGTCAAACACCACGCCAAAGACTTAGGCGCGCATGTGGCCTTTTCACGCCAACGCACAAACCAAACGTTGGCTCAACGGCTTGACAGCCTTGCACCGTTTTGGGATCAGCTCAGATCCAGCCGTGCCAGTTATCATGCAAAGCTGCGTGCACTGCGATGTGTTGCTTGGCCTCGTGGCCTTTTTGGGGTGGCCAGTGCCCCTTTGGGCTCAGCTGTTTGGTTACGTCACCGCCGCTTGGCAGTCAAGAGCCTTGCCTTTGATAAACCAGGCGTCAACCCCGGCTTGCTCTTAGGCCTTGTTGAAGCTCAAGCTGATCCGGAATGGCTTGGAATTTTGGCCACCGTTGCTGAAGCACGCCAGTTTTGCCCCCTGGATTTTTGGGCTTTGGACTTATACCATGCAGCATGTGGTGACACTGCACCACCGCCGTCCTCTCCCACGGCGGTTCTTCTTTCCCGTGTGCGCCAGCTTGGTTTGAATGTTTGCGCTGATGGGCAATGGCAGGATGCAGTTGGCAGTTTTCATCCTGGTATGGTCAATTTTGCGGAGTTGTCCTTGCGTTTACAATGGTGTTGGAATCGGTTGATTGCGGCCTCCGTCTGTCACCGCAAAGACTTCGGTGGGTTGGTCCATGTAGACGTTGTCACCACACGTCGCTGCCTGAGCCTGTTGCCCCCTGACCAACAGGCGCTCATGAGACTGAGCCTTAGTGGAGGCCTGTACACACAAGATGCCCATGCGCATTGGAATGATGGCCCTGGCACTTGTAAGTGGTGTGGTCAGTTGGATTCCCTTGAACACCGTTACTTCCATTGCCCGGCTACCAGCCGTTTGAGGTTGCAAGTTGCCCCTGACTTGGTTCGGCTCCGAGCCTCTGTGCCTGATGCTTTGGCTTTGCGCAGCTGGGCCATCCAGCCACACACCCAGATGGATTGGCTTCGTTGTCTGAATGCAATTCCCTCCCAGGTGCCTCCTTGTGCAGTGGAATTTTCCTCTTCTCGGTGGAATTGTGTGTTTACTGATGGTTCCTGTCTGTGGCAGTCCCTACCTGATGTACGCGTTGCTGCTTGGGGTGTTGTCCTTGCTGTCCCGTTCAGTGGCCATTGGACTTCTGCCGGCCCACGCGTCCTTTGTTCTGGTCAGTTGCCTGGTCTGTGTCAAACGGCTTACCGTGCTGAACTGTATGCCCTTTGTGTTGCTCTGCATCATGCGGCTGTGGGGGGCTTCCGGGTTAAAATATACAGTGACTGCCTTGGTGTCATTAATAAATATTTTTTGCTCACCCGGGGACAGGTTGGTCTGAAGCAGAACACAGGAAATGCGGATCTCTGGCAATGGCTCCTTTCTTCACTGGACAGACTTGGACAAAACAATGTGCAACTGATCAAGACGCCGGCGCATCGGCGTGTTTCTTCAGCTACTACACAGCGGGAAGCGTGGCAGTTTTGGAACAATTCAGTTGCAGACCAGGTGGCCAAGTTTGCCAATTTGGACAGAGGAGAAGAGTTCTGGACAACATGGAGCGAGCATGCACAAGCAGTCACAGCGGCGAAGCAGTTGCATGAACAAGCGTGGCAACTGCATTTACAGGTTGGTTTGCTCAGTGTACAAGACAGTGCAAGTGCCGATTTGGATGTCGAAGTGGTGCATGTGCCGCGACCGTCGCGGGTTTTTGAGCCCAGGTTTTGCATTGCTGCATGGAAGGGATCCATCCCTCCAGCCTTTGCCAATGAGTATGGCTATGGAATGGCTTCCAGAATTGCCCAATGGTGGACAGCTCGCACTTCAGCGGGCACAGAGGAGATCAAATGGGTGTCCTTCGTACATTTGTACGTGGACTACCAACTTACATGGGGCTGCGCAGGACCACTGCAAAGCAAAAAGACTTGGTTAGACATTTTCCTGAGGCCCTACTTGGATGCAGGCAAATACCCTTTCCTAAAAAAAGTCAAATGGTTCAGACGTTGCCTCAAGCAGTTTTGGAGCCAAAGCCAGCAAGTCATCGGCATGGAGCAATGCCGATGTGCCAGTGAAATCATACAGACGCATATCCAGTCGGCGTCGGTGAGATGGGATGCAGCAGCCCTTCACATGACTGAAAACTGGATAGCTGAGAACTGCAGAGAGCCTGTAGCACGAGGGACAAAGGTCCTCCAATCCCTCCCGATTGCAAACGCAATCCCAGGGTTGAGGGTTAGTGACAATGCATCCAATGATGATGCGATGTCCGGCGATCTCGCCGCCTAGGTGTTGACAAAAGGCCTCGATCCCTACCATGATCAGGCCTGCCCGCTGGAAATAGTGGAAATAGTGGTGGTTTGGAACATGGCTTTTATGAATTTCCATATATTGGGGATAATCATCCCAACTGACCAATATTTTTTACAGGGGTTGAAACCACCAACCAGGTATTATTTTTAAGTAAATCGTTTGACGTTTTGTTTTGTAGACGTGCAAAGCCATCCATTTTGAGGGTTCTGTTTTATACAGAGTGACTATCTGGTTGGTGGTTTCAAACATTTCTCCATTATTCTCCATTCCATGCCATTGACGAACTCCTCATCTTTTTCAGGATGGTTGGTTTGCACCACCAACCAGCTATCCCGTTGACATCCCATGGATCGGTCACCATTTAGAATCAGCAATGAAGGGTGTTTTTGTCAAGCGATTGGTTTCTCCCAAAAAGCAACATATCATTGCATGGTACTGCATGTACACATATGTACACAACCCACTGTAATATATATATATAGATGTGTGTATGTGGGTAAATTTATAACGACTTCACTGTTCTCCCGAGCCCTGGAATCATGGTGAATAAAGGAAATCATCCCCAAATGGCCGAACAAATGTTTTAGCCAGGCCTTGGGATGAAAAATGATGCAGCATGATGCAGCCCTGTTGCCAACATGACTAGAGATAGATACCATGTATATATTTAATTATACATCTAATTATATATTTAATTATACATCTAATTATATATATACAGTTTATATATAATATTATATAATTATATATATATACAGAGTATATATAATATATAATATATATATATACACATAAGGTATATGTATATCAATACATGCGTTTGTCTTTGTTTGTTGTTTTAAGACAACAAAACACATATATGCATATTTATGTGAATATATATTATATGAGTATTTGCATTATACGGATATGGTAGATCATTTAAATATCTAATCTATCTATCTATCAATCTTATCTTATCTTGTTATGCATGGTCTTGTCTTGTCGTGTCTTGTCTTGTCATGTCGTCTTAGCTTATCTTGTCTTGTCTTGTCTTGTCTTAATCTAATCTAACCTTATCTAAATCTAATCTAATCTTATCTTATCTTATCTATCTATCTATCTATCGATCTATCGATCTATCGATCTATCGATCTACCGACCTATCGACCTATCGATCTATCGATCTATCGATCTATCTATCTGTCTATCTGTCTATCTGTCTATCTGTCTATCTGTCTATCTGTCTATCTGTCTATCTGTCTGTCTATCTATCTATCTATCTTTCTATCTATCTATCTACCTATCTATCTATCTATCTATCTATCCATCTATCTATCTATCTATCTATCTATCTATCTATCTATCTATCTATCTATCTATCTATCTATCTATCTATCTATCTATCGATGTATCTATCTATCTATCTATCTATCTATCTATCTATCTATCTATCTATCTATCTATCTATCTATCTATCTATCTATCTATCTATCTATCTATCTTATTATCTATCTATCTATCTATCTATCTATCTATCTATCTATCTATCTATCTATCTATCTATCTATCTATCTATCTATCTATCTATCTATCTATCTTATCTATCTTATCTATCTTATCTATCCTATCTATCCTATCTATCCTATCTATCCTATCTATCCTATCTATCCTATCTATCCTATCTACCCTATCTACCCTATCTACCCTATCTACCCTATCTACCCTATCTGTCCTATCTATCCTATCTATCCTATCTATCTAATCTAATCTAACCTAATCTAATCTAATCGAATCGAATCTAATCTAATCTAACCTAATCTAATCTAATCTAATCTATCTATCAATCAAAGAAACTAAAAAACAAACAAACTAACTATCTAACTTATCTTATCTACTTAATCTAATCGAAACGTACCTGATCTAATCTTACCTAATCTTACCTCATTTAATCTTTTCTAATCGCATCTTATTATCTATGTTATCTATCTATATGTCTACCTATCTATCTATATATTTTTCTATCTATCTATCTATCTATCTATCTATCTATCTATCTGTCTATCTATCTATCTATCCATCCATCCATCTATCTATCTATCTATCTATCTATCTATCTATCTATCTATCTATCTATCTATCTATCTATCTATCTATCTATCTATCTATCTATCTATCTATCTATCTAAGAAACGAACTAACAAACGAACGAAACAACTAATCTTATTTACTTAATCTAATCTTACCTAATCTTGTCTTAGCTAATCTTACCTAATTTATTTTTTATCTGATCGCATCTTATTATCCATCGATCTGACTAACTAAATCTAATCTAATCTGATTTAATCTAGTCTAATCTAATCTAATCTATCTATCTTATATGGTCTATTACAATATATATATTAGCTGTCGCATCGACATTTTGGACGAATCATCACACCTTTTTGTCCTGTTCCGCTTTTAGGCTCTTCAGTTTAGTTCTTAATGCTTGCGGCCCCTTGCAACAAGTGTCGCTCAGGGACACAACCTGCAGGGGACTCTTGGTGTCTTGGCTGTTCTTCTTTGGAAGTAAGCCAGGATTTCCTGAAAAAGAAGTGGGGGTTGCCTGGGTTGCGTGGATTCGCCGAGGAGGCAGCGCTGTCTGGAGCACGTTTTGTGCGAGCTTGTATAACCTGGACTCCTCGCTGGCATCTAGCTCAGGCTCCGCTGAGGGTCGCGCCCTCTTGACGGCAACCAAGAGCAAGGCCGAGCGTCCGAGGTCAAGGAGTCCCAGGGATGAGCGCCCACCTATCCCTCGTGCGCCTCCACCGCCAGCACCCCCACGTAGAGGAGAGCGAGAACCTAGCCCGGAAAGCCTTTATTCAGAAGGTGAGGAGAGTGAAGAAGAAGATCAGGCACGAGACGCCCCAGTGAAGGTAGAAGAAAAGGATAAGGAAAGAGAGAGAAGGGGGAGCCACAGGCCCGCTGAGCCTCGGTATCCACCACGAGATTCTCATCGACAGCACGGAGAAAAGAGAGGAAAGAAGCGACGAGAAGGAAAGAAACATCAGAGGAGGTACAGGGACGCAGAGGATCCCTTTAGGAAGAGTCACCGCCGTCTAGACAGCCACAAGCTGGACTTGGCAGGTGACTGGTTGGAACACCGGGCCTAAGGGCCCTAGGCGGTCCGGAGGGAATGTCATTCCCCCCTGATCCCCCTGTCGGATGGCAAGAGGAAGTGGAATACTTTCCCTCACCTTCAGATATCAGAGAGAGCCTGGCAGCCGCACCAGTTTTCAAGGAACCCAAGTTTTACGACCTGTCCGAGTCCAAGGCAGAGTTCTGGAGAAGGAGACATGTGCCGCCAGGATCTACCTTGGTGTTCAAGGATCCTTCCCAGGGAGAAGGCCCAGATGTCCCCGATGCCGCTGTGCTGGTTTTGGAAACCGAGTCACTGCAGGAAGGCATCTGGCTGACAGTAAAGGGCATAGGGGCCAGCACCGAGGAGGAGAAAAAGAAAGTGATGGGCTATTTCAAAAGCAAGAAGCGGAAGATACACCTTTGTTATCGGAAGCCTCAAGAATGTTTCCAAGACGAACACGAGGGCCTCCACCTGTCCAAATTTCATTGGTATCCCCCGGGAGATCTCACTGCCAGTTGGTTGACCGCTCATGGAGGGAAGGCGGTTGCAGATGGAAAGGCCCTGGAGTTAAAGGCGGCAAAGACAACTACCGATCCCGCAGACGAGAAAAGGAAGGAAGCACATGGTGGCGAGAGCGAGGTGGAAACTCGGCTATCGGCCCTGCGAAAGCGGGTTCCGGAGAGAGTCTCTTTTTCCGCATCTGCGGTGAGGCTAGGACGTCACAACGGGAAGACGGACCCCGCATGGAGGGTGGGGCTGGCAGGTTTGGCGCGCGCCCCAAATCACCCTCTGCGGCAGTGGTCCCCTTGGTGAAGAAGGAAGTGGAAGAAATACTCAGCGACACTGCATCCGAGGCCAACAAGAAGAGCAAGCAGAAGAAGAAGACAATGGCCGATTCGCTCCTGAAAGCAGCTCGAGCTCGGCGCAATGCAGAGAGCCACAAGGAGAAGAAAAAGAAGAGCAGGAGCCGCTCGAGGTCAAGGAGAAGGAGAAAGAAAAGGAGGCACAGCTCGGAATCCGAGAGCGGAGAGGGCTTGAGCAGGGACAGCTCTTCGAGCGAGGGATCAATGATGGCCCCGCTGAAGAAAAAGTCCACGAAGACGCCGGGCTCAGTCTTTCAGATGTTGGAAGAGCAGAGCAGCTAGGGCAAAGAGGACAGAGGCCGAAGATAGGAACATACTATCAGCTGATCCTGAAGCCAAATCTGGACAGCAAAAGCCGCGATGCAAAAGAACTGGCAATGCGAGGTGCCTGGGACCTCCTTCGAGAAGGCCGTTTGCCCGAACTCGCGGACGTGCTGTCAGCACGGCTGCTGGCGGTGGACACGTCGACGCGACAAGGCTGGGCGATGGCCAGGCATCTGGAAGTCTTCTGCGAGGAGGACACGGGGAGTGTGCCCCAGCACATACTCCTGAGTGCTCAAAAGCACGCCAGACAGGTGGAGAAGGCCGGAGGAAAGGGTTCCTGGCAGAGGTGGCCGCAATCCTACGGAGGAGATTGGGGCGGCGACGTCAAGGGAAAGAACAAGTCTAAGGATGGGAAAGGCAAAGGCAAGAAGGGCAAAGGAAAAGGAAAAGGCAAAGGAGGTTGGAACAACTGGAGCCCGGAGAACAGAGAAAAAGGAGGAGAGAAGGCGAAGAAGGGCGAGGGGGAGACTTGATGACTCCTCCTTGCACTACAAGCTCAGTGCTGGAGAGAGCAAGCCGGGAAGAAAGTCCCAACGTACAGCAGTGCATGTCCCAGCTGGGTGACGGCCCGTTGTTGGGGTCGACATCGTCTGTGCTGGATTCCCGTGATGGGAATAATCCAGAGTTCGCAGTGGGGAGGCCTGTGCCAGCCGTGCTCCCTTTAGGAGCTGGCGGCGCAGCACCCTCGACGCGACAATTGAGTGGCTGAAGCAGCTCTGTGCAGTCAAGAGCATGATTGAGCTGGGAGTCAAGGTGGCATGGGGGCTGAAAGCTGGTTGGATCACACAGTTTGATGACCGCGCTGGACCTACAAGGGTTGGTGGGCATCGCCGCGGCGGGCTGTTCCCCCTGCCACTTGTCATACCAGCCGATATGCCTTGGGTGGATGCCAGTCAAGGGACTGGCTATAGTATGGAGCTTGGAACAGCTGCTTGGGTTGCTTTAGGCTGCGCGGCTATGAACGCGCTGTACGGCTACCCCAACGAGGGCTGGACTAGACAGCCTGGAAAAATTCATGCAGCCGTGCTTGAGGGTTTGAAAGGGAAAGTGAGGCGGTTTCTTTTAGGAGCGCCTGCCCCCGAAATTTGTTTTGATGATGTGGTTAGGGATTTGAAAGAAAAGAAAGTTTCTTATACGGGGGAAGAGATTTCTCAGCCTCATCCGCTGAGTGCAGAGCAAATTGAAGGGGGCCTACCCCCTAAGGGGCATGGTGGATCTGTCCCTCTTCTTCCTTTTTTGAAGGGAAGAACTCGTTTTTTGCTGGAGCACCCTGAAGAATCATTATTACCTGAGCACGAAAGAGGAGCCTGTGCAGTTTCAGCAAAAGTACATATCTGTAGAGGACAAGAGATGGATGTTTTTAGACTGATGGAAGAAAGGGGTATCATTTCTTGGGTGCATGCAGACGTTGCGTACACCGACAAACGTGGGACTTATTTATCGGGTCTTTTTGGAGTCGTCAAACCAAACAAGTATACGATAAATAAACGTCCGGTGTTAAGAGTTATAATGAATCTTATACCTATAAATGGGTTGTTCCAAGTGTTGCGGGGTGATATTAATTATCTGCCCAGTGCAACACAGTGGTTACCCATTTTTCTACAACCGGGAGATCAGATCACCATGTCACAGGCCGATATGTCAGCTGCTTTTTACCTCTTTGAATTGCCGGTGCAGTGGCAGAAGTACATGTGTTTCAATTTTTCGGTTAAGGGTCATCAACTGGGGTTTACAGGCGACGCTGCTTTCAAACTTTATAGGCCAACATGTCGTGTCCTGCCAATGGGATGGAGTTCATCAATAGGTATTATGCAAGCTATATCCCGAGAAGTCCTTTTATCGAGGGGGTTGCCTGAAGATAGGGGAGTCAAGCCGCCACCCTGGTTCACTCAGGCCGCAAGCGCGGCTACCGAGAGCCGAGCGTGGTGGCAAGTGTACCTGGACAACTTCCTATCTGGGGAGGTTGGAGCTGAGGGAGAGTTCTCCCACAATGTGGCTTTACAGCAGAAAGCTTTGGAGGCATGGCATTCAACTGGAATTTTGACAGCGGAAGATAAGCAAGTTCTGGGGAGTAAATCTGTTGTGGAATTGGGGGTAAGGATTGACGGAATTAATGGTCTTGTAGGAGCTTCATCAGATCGTATCTTTAAAACAAGCTTGGCCACTATGTATCATTTGTTGAACCCTGTTTGGAGCAAGAAAGAAGCACAGATCATTCTGGGAAGGTGGATTTTTATATTACAATACAGAAGGGCAGCAATGGGGGTTCTTTCAAAAGCATGGCAATGTCTTGAAAGCAAGTGGCCACAAGCGACGCAAATCAGAAAGCTGCATCAAGAGCTTTTGCAACTCCTATGTTTAGGGCCTCTTTTACAAGGCGACCTGACGTCGGAATACGACGGGCAAGTAACTTGCTCAGACCCCTCAGAGTCTGGGGGAGCAGCAGCAATCAGCCGCGGTTTATCATGGTCAGGGCAGTCTTACGTTGGTTGGCTTTCTGACTCCCGTCTTCATGGTATTTCCTGCCCCGTGTTGCTTATTTCACTTTTCAATGGCATAGGGGGAACATTTAGAATTTATGACATCTTGGGTGTGATCCCACACGGAAGGATTGCGGTTGATGTGAGCAAACAGGGAAATCGGGTGACGAGGACCACCTGGCCTGATGTTATTGAACTTCATGACGCCAACGACATTACGAAAGACGAGATTCGACGATGGGCAAATCTTTTTGCGCATGTTTCTGAAGTACATGTATTTGGCGGTTTTCCATGCGTGCACCTCAGCTCAGCACGCGCCAATCGCCTCAACTTGGAGGGTGAAGGATCAAATCTGTTTTGGAAACTAGTAGAAATTCTCCATTGGATGCATGATTTTTTTGGCAGTTTCTGTAAAGTAAAGCACTGTGTTGAAAACGTAGCGTCAACGGACGAAGACGCTAGGATGGCCATTTCTGATGAGCTCGGAATTATGCCAGTGAAACTTGACCCCGCAGATTGTATGCCAGTAAGTAGGCCGAGACTTGCCTGGTGCTCGGTTCCGTTGTACGAAATGACAGGGATTGAATTTTGGAAAGAACGTGAGTACGTTCGCGCCTATGTCAGTGCAGAACCTATTGATAATTGTCAGTGGATCAGACCGGGCTGGCGCTGGGACGCGGCCCCGGGAACAACTTTTCCCACCTTCATGAAATGCATCAAGCGAGTGCAGCCACCAGTGCAGCCGGCGGGGCTGAGGAGAGCCAGCGCTGATACACGTGCGCGATGGGCATCAGATCATTACAGGTACCCGCCGTACCAACATGGACCTCAATTTTTGCTACACTGTGAAGGGCAACAACCTCGACTTCTGGATTCCAGTGTAAGAGAATTACTTTTGGGTTTTGGACCCGCACATACGGCCTCCTGCATGAGCGCCTCAGACATGAAGAAAAGTAAAGAAGTATATGAAGATAGCCGATGTTCTCTTTGCGGAGACAGCTTCTCCATTCTTTCTTTTGGTATCATGGCCAGCAGTATGTGTTCTGAGATGGTGCCACGCATGACGCCGGACCAGATGGTTAAGCGCCTCGGATTGGCACCTGGGTCTAGTGCACACCCCGAAGTACAGGGACCCATGAGCCGGTGGCTATGTTATGGGGGAAATACTGAGGTACAGTTTACCGAGAAAGAGATGGTTCAACAACTGGGGTTGAGTGTGAATCATACGGGGTGTGATGTCCGGATTGTTACAGGAGAAGCAATGGGACAAAAAGCCCCTAGCCATGCGTCAGTCAAATTTTTGTGGTGGCAATGGGGGCAACTATTCAATATTAAATGGGGATCAAGCTCTCATATCAATTACCTTGAGATGAAAATGATCCCTCTGGAAATCAAGGTGCACCTCAAAGATAAACAAGCGTTAGCTTCATCTTGAAGATAGTATGGTTTGTCTTTACATACTCTCCAAGGGAAGAACTTCAAGCGCAATGCTTCAACCCATATGCAATAAAATTGGTGCCTTACAACTAGCCATGGGCTCAACCCTCCTTCATGGACACGTGGGATCCAGTGAGAATCCCACCGATGCAGCCAGTCGCCTTTAACGGCAATGCCGCGCACTATCCCACGGGTAGTGCTGGCAGGGAAGACGCAGAAAGCGCGCCAAAGACAACGAGCGGGAATCCGCCTACGTGATTTCACTGTGACTAATAAAACCCGCTTACGTTATGAAACTGCAGTTGCCCGTATTTTGCCTTTCTTAGAAAAACAGGCTGACCTCAAGGATTTGGATCATGTTGTTTGTGATTGGATGGAAATGCAATGGGCGCGGGGCGAGTCCGTTGGTTGGATCGCTGACGCCCTCTCAGGGTTACATTTCTTTTGGCCGGAGATCAAAGGTTGTCTCCGTGAAAGCTGGCGAATGTTTCGCTCATGGAGGAGAGTTGAAGCACCTCAACGAGCCCCTCCTATGACCACCTGTATTGCAAAGGCTATTATTGGCCGCGCGGTTGACTTGAATAACCTTCCTTTTGCTTGCCTGATAGGTCATCCAGTTTAAAGATCTTGAGATATCCAGGTCTTCTGGGATCATTAGCCTTTATAGCAGTAAATCTGGCCTGCGCACTGGTACACAAGAAGCGGTGTCAATACGAGCCAGTTTAGTGTTGAACCTGCTGGCTACTTTAGTCGCCGTGCAGAAACCATGTCCTGGCGAGACATTGTGGCCGTATTCGGCCCAGTTCTTTCGGGAAACCCTTAAGCGATACATGGGATCCTTTCGTCTTGCTGATTTAAATCTCAAACCTTACAGCCTCCGGCGAGGGGGAGCAACATACCTCTTACAATGTAGGGTTCCTTTGGATGTTTTATTGTTACGTGGTAGATGGCGGTCACTTTCTGTGGCCCGCCTCTACCTACAAGATGGTCTGGCGCAGATTCCGCATCTGCGGATCAATTCAACTGACACAGATCGACTCGTGACTTTTGCTGCTAAAAGCCCTGAGACAACTTTTCGACCGTGAGAAGCTCAACTTCTTTTCCTTTTGTTGTCAATTCTCTTATAACAGCCATGCGGCCGTGAGAAAGGGACCGTGGAAGAGCCAAGTGAAATTTGAATTTTCTGGAACAGGACTTTACTTTTTATTTCAGAGCTGTCCTGAGTTCATGCCAATTGAACAGCAGGCAGGCTCGAGCCATGTTGCCCCATGCCTTTTGGGAGCAAATGAGCTCTGAAAGATAAAAGGGTCCATGCCTTTTGGCCCTGAGAATGGAAAGAAAGTTTGTGGACATACTGGCTAAGCCAGATGGTCAAGAAAACCTTCAGGTCCAGCGTGACAAAAGAAGTGTTGCATGAGTCCAATAAATATATATATATATATACACTTGTGTCATACGTGTATACGTCATGAATGTATCCCGGTTGCTTCAGGCCATGCGGCAGACGCTCACGGAGTCCACCAATGCATCGGAGGGTCGTCTGGAGGTGCCAATTTCATGGGGGGGTCAAAACCTATTACTATGGGATTATGGTGATTATTATCCCATTATGATTATGGTGCATTATTATTATCCCATTTATGATGATTATTATGATAAATATTCCAAGACATGTCCTGAGGAGTTCGGGATTGGGAGCCTTTAGAATTGGTGGAATTCTGTGATATCTTATATGGGTATTATCAATACCTATTAATACCATTTTTAGGGGGATGAACATCCATTTACCAGCTATTTTGATGTGAACAGAAGGGGTACAAGGTTTTGACACACTGCCACATATATATATATATACATATATATATATATTTACACATCTCCCTATGGTTGGTTTAACATCATTAACTGTTATAGGGGATGATAGTAGGATAATCATGGTATAATAATGGGATCATTATGGGATAATAATGGGATATCTAGCTAATGTGGTTAAAAATAAAACAGTAATAAACTACCCAGTTGGGAATGGTTTTAATAGCACCTATAAACATGTTGATGACTGGGGGATGGTGCATTTGTGGCATTGTTTTAACCTCATTACTATGAATTTGAGTGTGATGAACATCTATTTACCAGCTGTGACTTGAGGTTCACCAGGGGTACCTGGGTAACTTGACCCATAGCGGAAAAACACTGGGATTTAAAGAGTTTTGATAGGTAAATCATCCAAATCAATGATGGGCCGTGGCTTCCATAGCGAATCTTAGATTATGTTGAATTTCCGGAGGGTATACCTAGTTAACACATGATCATTAATATCAATTCGTTTAGATGCATGGATGATTCTTTCATCTCCAGAATCCGTCAATATCCATCAAAGAGTGAATCCATCGATCTGTCGCCGGATCTAAAAAGCTGCTGGAGATTCAGTGTGTTAACCCATTAGGACTGAAACCCAATTGCGTTCATCCCTGACGGTTTTGGTTGAAAGTGGGGGTACCGCCACATTTGATAAACGTTATTTAAAAACAAGTTCATATCATAATTTGTCCTGTGAAGATGTGGCGATGTTGTTGTAAATCCTCATTATTTGACAACATCACAGTGTTATCCTTTGGTAATCAATCATGGTTTGCTGGAAAATCCACCAATTATATTTATAGATGCGTGTTTCCGTTCAAACTTAATAATCTAGGAGTTGGGCTAATTTCATGTAAAAGTCAATATGTAATCTATATTCTCCCAACGGTTTTCCCATCTAAAAACATTGCATTTTCAACTGCGATGTTCCAGCCAGGCCGCAAGAGAGCTGAGACAGCTAGCGAAGCTTGAGGCGTGTTTTTGTCGCCATGCCAGGGGGACATGGTAGGTATCCTACCCTTTTGAAGAGTGAAATCGAGAACTCATCTGTAAAATCCACGAAATCTTACATCGAAAACGGGAAAATCATCCGAACATGAATTGTCCATAATAATAAACCTATTACAAAGAAATTATATTTCCATGGGAAAATTATCTGTAAATAATGGATAAATGGAGGTTTTAATTCGAACATCATCGAACCTAATGGAGGTTTGAACGTGAAACCATGAATGTCGACTATATTCCTCGGAAAACCATGGGCCTTCCACCCTGAGCAAACATGCAAAACAAATATCAAAAAGGATAGTTGATCAAATTGATTCAAATGATTGTTTGGATATTAGTTGTTGCAACGGATCAGTCATATGACACTTGCATATTGAATCGACGAAATCAACGAAAGCAATGGACAGATGCAACCAACGCATGTAGCCATTGGTTTATGGTGATCATGGAGAATATTGGTGCATGTATGTGCATGTTTGTTTTCACTGTCCTGTTTCTGAGATTTGAAATTGTTCATCCGGCTATGAGGGGAACCATGTAAGCCATTTAAAACCTCAATACATGAAGGGAATAGCCATGAATTGATACTTATCGTTATACCAAATGGATCCAAATGGTCCTTGTTTGTCTTTTTTCCGACACTGCTCAGTTTTGTTTACAGCAATCCCCATGTTTAGAGCAGTTGGAAACCTGGCAAAGCCAGGCTCAAAGAGTAGCGGAGATTGAAGCCAACATCGCTCAGAAGGAGAAGGCACGAAGAGGGCGGCACACAGGCGACGCATTTCAAAGGTCAGGTGCGTTCGTGCCCTAATTCGTTAGCTCACTTCGTTGTTCACAAGTTTACCCTCTGGTTAGTTAATAGCCATGGAAAATTCCTTGGAAATGGAGGATTTAATGGGAAAATCATCTATACATGGGCCATTTTCCATGGCTATGTTAAATAACCAGAGGGTAACATAATTTAACTAGGGTTTATAACTGCCAGGGTTTATTGGGGCACCACTAGTGATTTAACTAAGTAATTCGCCGGGGTTTATAACCAGGAGCACGACTTTGTAGCATGGTCACGTGGGTCTGAAAATTGGGTATATACCTTAAAATGGCCCATGTTGATAAGGAAAATGGTGATTGTCCATTATTTCTTTTTAATGGTAAGATTATATAATGTTGTATCTTTATAGCATCTAGATAATATGCATCAAGGTTATTTAACACATATATATGTATGTACATTAGACACAGCCTTTAGCCACTGCTAAGTGGGCAATGAAGGTTCTTTCACGACCCCCTGCTAGTGCTGGTCATTTTTTGTTGGTGAAGGTTATGTTTATTGAATTTGGAATTTGCAAAATAATTGTCATTGTCAAATTGTTGTGTTTTTTGTTTGACATTATCATTTTTCATAATATATTTGAAGACGACTATACATAGTATATGGTGGTTTCCATAAATAGGGGTACCCCAAAACCATGGGTTTCAATACTAAAATGGTTTAATTTTAGATGATTTTGGGGTACCCCTATTTTAGGAAACCTCCATATCTTTACATGTTGCAGACATACTCCCCAGTTCTTCGACATTCTCCGAATCGCAGGAACTTCTTGAGATGCGCGAACAGGTGGCCAAGGCTGGGGAAATGTAATGTATGTTTGTTTGGTTAAATTTCCTGTCAATGGCGATATATACGTATAATTATTTACAGTATATATATATATACATGCATAGTTTTTAAATGGATGTTTGTTTCATGTTTATACAATTATTTATAGTTATGTTTGCTTCCTAACAAATCTAACAATGATATTGGTTGATATCATTGATGTTCAATGTCGATATTACATTGAACATGCATATGTATATATGTATATATATATATATGTATGTATATATATATATGTATGTGTATATATATATGTATAGATATATACACACATATATATATATATATACATATGTATGTATATATATATATTGCATTATTGCAGTTGTTGATTCTTGCCTAAGTGGAGTGGATATTGTTGATCTTGATGTTTACTGATGGTTTCAGACATGTAAGTGCAACACGGCAGAACATATGTAGAAAATTGTAGAAATACAGGTTTGCTTGTACTACGTACCCTACATATCGACACATCTTTGTAGATGCCGTTTCACTAAGGTTTCACCCTGGCAGGCGAGGAAAGAGGAGCTACGGCTGATCAAAATGGCAGAGGTCGTATCTGCTGGGTGACTTCTGGGATATTTGGTCAGCTTTCAAACCCAGACAATACTTGGGGATGCAGTCGAGGTTATTCATAGGACTTTTTAATATTTATATAACCCATATATCATTTCTAGGGTTTACCCCCTGGTAAACAAACAAAGCTATTGAAAATGGCCATAGAAATCGTTGATTTACCCATTAAAAATGGTGATTTTCTATCGTTATGTTAGTTTACCAGAGGGTATATCATGTTACATCCCAAATTAATGGGGCTAAGCCCATCCCATAGTTCCAACAGCAGGCCCATTTCGGAGCTGATTTTATCCACTGGTAATTTAGCAGTTTGCGAACTGGACAATGACCATGTTAATAGCAAAATGAACGAGACAAAAAAAGGGCCAATTGAAACATAGCTATGTGAAATTACTAGAGGCTGGTCTTTTGATGCTTGTCCAGTTCGCAAACTGCTAAATTACCAGAGCGTAAAGCAGTTCCCTATGACATATCACAATAAAATGTTGGTGGATCACTGTTAAATGCCACTAAATACCATTAAGTAACCATCTAAGATTGGCCATGTTTATTTTCCAACTCACGAGTGGACATGCCTTTTTCTAAAAATGTCCAATTGAAGATGTAAAAGGCAATTAGATTGCCTTTCGTCTTTTCTGTGACAATCAAACGGATCAAACATGATTTGGTTGTTGGATTCAAACACGTTTCGTAATGTTCAACATTTTTCAACCATGTTTTTGGCGATCATGATCCCAAACTAACTCATTTTTTTGGGGGGGAGGCATTGAAAGCTCCTGGCGCCAGGCCCATGAAGTCGCGACGAACGATGAGGTTCCGCCGCATCATTCTGGGTCCAACTTAGGGATGATCCCAAACTGAAGAGCCGTGATTTTCAGGGTGAAGCCAGGGAGCAGTGGTGGATGTAGGGAATTTCCACATCATTGGAACCATACAATGGGAGTGTTTAGTATCAGGGGGATGGGATTATTTATGATTCTTGAACTTCTTCATGTATATTTTGCATTTATGGGTATTTATGATAAGTTTTCCCCTTGGAATTGAGAACTAGCATGATATACCCCATATTTACACAAAGCCATAGAGAGTACAGTACTAGATTTGAGTCCGATCAAATCTCTGGTTGATTCTCCGCATCCAGAAGCTCACCTGGTAGACACCCAGATGTGTTAGATTTCCGTTTCCGATGGTCAACATCAACATCGACTCTCGAGCATTTTTTGTGACTGCAGCTACAAAGGCGTCGACTTTCAAGTTGGAAATGAAGACTTGTACGCTGGAACAGTGTTTTTGGGAGATGTTTTCGCCGGGATCTTGAGTGAAAAATGAGGTGTAGTTGCACCAGCCCCACCATTGGTTCATTCATAAACGAGTAGAGGCAACAGGTCCGCAGGTCCGTTCGTGGCAACGTAGAGTTTGATTCGAGGCTCATCCCATTCCTGATTCTCCAGTGCTTTCTCCCCAGGCGCAGGGGTATGTAAACACAATCTGACAGTCGTTTGAGTCGTTTGATGGGACAGTCGAGTGACATCAAAATAGGGCCAACAATGGGCCAACATGCCATCCCTTTGTGTTGCAATCTTAGAACATAGCACAAGCCTAGCCATCCCTGGAATGGTGAGTTCTTCATCTGGATTTTTTTTAAGCATCCGGTACCACTGGTATCACCTGCCGCCGCCAGGACCAGGACGACGACAGTCCCAAGGTTCAACCCTTGGGTGCACGGATCCTAGTCCCAGGCGCGGGCTTGGCTCCGTGAGGGAGTTGGTTGGCTGCCCATTCTCCGCATTTTTTCAATGTGTATAGCTAGACACTCCATTGATTACTTCATAATTTTAGCACATGTACCAAATTTGTGTGAGTACGAGGTACTTTGAGTGCCTGGTAGATGTGTTCTCCAATTCTTTGCATTGGATTTCCGCACAAGGCACCCTCTTGGACCCAACCTGTTGCGTGGTGTACCCTGTACCCCTCGGTGTTCATCTTTCGAGCTGCATCCAGCATTTATCACTAGGGGTGTCTCAAAATTGGGGATTATTCATTCATCACCCCTGGGATCCTCTTCAGAGGGACCCTTATTGGAACAGGATGCCAGGCTGCTAAACATTCAAAAAAATTAGGGGACATTACCAAAAGTTCAGAAACATTCAACAAAGTTGGAAAACATTAGAAAACATTACAAAAGCTTCAAAATAATTCTTCCCCATTTTGTGGTTTGCCAACACCCCTGCACTCAGCACACTATCTTTTCACTTCACCACAGGTCGTTGGTACTTCCCACATTTTCCACAGCAGCCCCAAATACTAGCAAAAAAAGACACAATTTAACAAAAAAAATAGAAAAAAGTACAAAAAATAGAAAAACATAGAAAAAATTACTTTACTTCGTGTGATCCCCACCATGACATTTATACATTTTCTTACTGGCAAATCTTCTGGCATTCTATCTGACATATCTTCTGGCATTCTATCTGGCATTCTATCTGGCAAATCTTCTGGCATTCTAGCTGAATGGCATTCTATCTGGCATCTTCTGGCATTCTATCTGATCTTCTGGCATATGGCATTCTATCTGCATCTGACATTCTATCGTCTTCTGGCATTCTATCTGGCATATCTTCTGATTCTATCTGACATCTTCCGTGATTCTTCTGGCCGTTGAGGTCCGGCAGTGCCCACTGCGATCTGGAAGTCGCGGTTGAGGTCCGGCAGTGCCCACTGCGATCTGGAAGTCGCGGTTGAGGTCCGGCAGTGCCCACTGCGATCTGGAAGTCGCGGTTGAGGTCCGGCAGTGCCCACTGGGATCTGGAGCTCGCAGCAGAGGTCCGGCTGTGCCCACTGGGATCTGGACTGCGAGGAGGAGGCGGCGGGTGAGGAGGCGGAGGAGGCGGAGGTGGAGGCGGAGGAGGCGGAGGCGGAGGAGGAGGAGGAGAACAGCTCTGATAAAATCTAACAACCCTCACCTGGCAGGTGGGGAATTAGAAAACATTAGAAAAAATTAGAAAAATTACTTTACTTCGTGTGATCCCCACCATGACATTTATACATTTTGTTACTGGCAAATCTTCTGGCATTCTATCTGACATATTTTCTGGCATTCGATCTGGCATTCTATCTGGCATATCTTCTGGCATTCTACCTGGCATATCTTCTGGCAGATGTTCTGGCATATCTTCTGGCAGATGTTCTGGCATATCTTCTGGCATATCTTCTGGCATATGTTCTGGCATATCTTCTGGCATTCCATCTGGCATTCTATCTAGCATATCTTCTGGCATATTATCTGGCAAATCTGCTGGCATTCTATCTGGCAAACATTCTGGCACTTTATCTGGCATATCTTCTGGCATTCTAGCTGACATTCTATCTGGCATTCTATCTGGCATACCTTCTGGCATTCTATCTGGCATATCTTCTAACATTCTATCTGTGGCACTCTATCTTTTGGCGTGGATACTCGCGGTTGAGGTCCGGCAGGGAACACTGGGCGTGGATGGTCGTGGTTGAGGTCCGGCAGGGAACACTGGGCGCGGTTGAGGTCCGGCAGGGCACACTGGGCGTGGATGGTCGTGGTTGAGGTCCGGCAGGGAACACTGGGCGTGGATGGTCGTGGTTGAGGTCCGGCAGGGAACACTGGGCGTGGATGGTCGTGGTTGAGGTCCGGCAGGGACCACTGGGCGGGGATGGCCGTGGTTGAGGTCCGGCAGGGAACACTGGGCGTGGATGGTCGTGGTTGAGGTCCGGCAGCGAACACTGTGGATCGCGAGTCGCAGTTGAGCAGGAGGACGAGGAGGACAACGAGACGAGGAGGACAACGAGAGGAGGAGGACAACGAGAGGAGGAGGACGACGAGAGGAGGAGGAGAGGAGGAGGAGAGGAGGAGGAGGAGAAGGCAACTTAGATAAAATCTAACAACCCTCACCTGGCAGGTGGGGAATTAGAAAAAATTAGATTAGAAAAAATAACCCAAAAATAAAAATAAAAAAATACCTTTGTGGAAGAGCTTCTGGGGCTTCATTTGCCACCACCCATTTTCCTATAAAACAGAGGGAAATGCTCCTTTTTTTCTATTTTTTGGAATGTTTTGGAATGTTTTAGAATGATGGCTCAACCCCTCAAATGTGCCAATGAAGGCCCCTGCCAGTGAAGGCCCCTATTCCCATAAAAGAATTATGGCTTTGGGGTACCAACCATTTAGGAATCCCCCAGCTGTTTTTTCGGGGGATACGGTATAGACATGTATAGACCATTTTCAGACAAAGCCACATATTGACAAGGCTATTTTGCCATGATTCATCATCCTCATCGTCGTCATCGTCAGCCCGGATGTTGATTCGCCCTGATGAAACCTCGTGGGTCCCTAAACAAGATTTTGATCATCAAAACCTCCCCAAAGATCAACAGTCCAGTGCTTCTTAAAAAAAACAACAACCTGGCTGACATTATTGGCCTCATTAATCCTCCACAAAAAAAATCACCATGTGTCTATAGTGAGATGTTCATGATTTGCCAATTAATAATTTCATGTCCCCTGACCTCTGGTAATTTAACGTAGCTATTGAAAATGGCCATAGAAATAGTGCATTGTCCAAGTAAACATGGTGATTTTCCATAGTTTCTTGTATGTTTACCAGAGGGTAAATTTTGATGGGGGATCACCTGCCCGTGCAGGGCTAGGCCATTGATGTGCAGATGACTGAGATATGGTGATTGGTTGCCAGCGCCCTGCCGACCACGGCCCGTAACTGATGCTTTACACAATACAGGTATATATATATATATATATAATTATTTCAATGTTCATATAGAAGTATAATGAAGTATATATATATGTATATATATGTATATATATATTATGAATGCAGTGATATATAATATATGATTCAGAATTTGTATTTATAGATATAGAATGCATATACATACAATCAATATACATCTATGTCATATATATGCGCTGCCTATACACATGCTGCTTGTCTTAATACGGGGGAAACCACGAGTTTGAATCCATTTGATCGTAACTTCGTTTTGAATTGGTTAAATCCAGTTGGTCAACAATAACACTATATTTGAATCAATCAGTCAGACATGTAGCTGGATGCAACCATGATTGTTGTGCACACCTCATACTTTATTATTGGTCCAATACAGGACTTCTGTTTCCATGTAGAGTTGGTGGTTCCTATGTACGTGGTTCCCCTGTTCCTCTAAAGAGTTGATTTAAACATGGTAGAAGGATGCCACTGAAAACAAAATCCCGGACCCCAATCGAAATGGCGCCATCCTCATCCTTCGGTAGCAAATGATCATAGATTATCTCTAATCTTGGGAGGGTGACCGTGGTGGCCCAGATCCAATCAACCACGGTTTATCAACCCCGGTTGACATTAGGGAGCCCGTGCTCGTGGCGCGCGGATCCGCGGCAGAAGATCCGCCGGATCTGCAACTGAACAGCTGGCAGATTGGTGTCTTAATGGACATGATTTCCAAGTTTGCAATAGCTTGAATATCAAAGATATGATCCAAAGAATTATGAAAGAGCGGCTTAATTGAATTGGATTTCAAACTCATGGCTGGAAAATACTAAGAATCTGTGAGTTTCAATTTCATTTGTGGCAAAGAAATCTTAAACAGAGAAAGAACAATGAAGCAAAAAAACTTCTACAGTGCCACCTTTCCTGTTACACTTGTTTGAGTATCCTTTCACTGCATTTTTTACAGTCAATTTTGTTGACTTGCTTGGTCTTTGACGTGTAGTGCGTACTTTTCTGCGTTGAAGGTTAAACATCGCGGTTGTTCAAGTTGAGGCTTGGGTGAAAGGACCCACAGCCATATGTTTTAGTTAGCAGTCCCTTAAAGGGACACTCACCGGGATAGCTTTTAACTTCGATCACAGCGGAGTTACAAGAAGTCGGCGAACTGAGGTGCCGATGGACATAGGCTGGGATCATGTGAAATCCCGGGCTGAATTCTACCGGGTCAACAAAAAAACCGTCATGATCGTCATACTCATACCAACCTTATTACAAAAAATGCAGGGTCATAATTGGCTTTTGCGTATACCAAATTCCAAGAGAGGTGTAGTCGAACAAATTCCCTCGGCCTTGAAACATATAGGTTGTTTTCCCAGTCTAATCCGTCCATTTTCACAGGGATTTATATACAAGTTGGTGCCCCCGTTCGATAGCTAAGTTGGTGCAAATAACTCCAATAACTATATGGTTTATAGGCTATTTATAGGTGATATTATATATATATATAGAACTAGTCAACCAATAACTATATAGCTATATATATATTATGGGTTTATAGAACTAGTTAATGGGCTTATAACATCTTTTTAACCCCATGGAAATAGCTGGAGGGGGCACCACCTGGTACCCAATGATTTGCCCAAATTTGATGTGTCACGGCTCGCAGCTGTTTTCTTCGGACGGCGTGCCGTGGGACCTCAATGGAGGTGATGGAGGTCATTTTATGCAGCGACTTTTTGGGACTGGCTGGTGGTTTCAAACTTTTTTTTAATGTTCCATTTCATATATGGGATAATTCTTCCCATTGACGAACTCATATTTTTCAAGCGGGTTAAAACCAAAATAACAAGGGGATGATACGGTTGCGAAATCCTGGACCAGTTGATAGGTGGTTTATCCATGTTTATCCCTACAGGGTTTCAACTTATGTTTCAACCATCCTTTTGCTTGCTGGTGGTTGATCGGATTTCGCAACCACCGTAGGGATGGGTTTACTAATGATGTTCGAAATGTTTGAGGGGAAGTACATCCAGAACTACCAGCTATCTTGATGTGAGCTTACCCGCTGTGCCAGGGTGCCATGACCCATTGCCACATCTACTTTGGGATGGAATGATGACGACGATGATGATGATGATGGTGATGATGATGATGATGATGATGATGATGCAAGTGATGCAAGTGATGCAAGTGATGCAAGTGATGCAAGTGATGCAAGCATTATTACATATTGTCTGCAACAATTGGTAGCTTCAAATATAAGTCCTACCCACTCAGAATTATACAGCTTCTAAAGATTTGGAAAGATAGCAGAGTTTGACATGTTACCATGTTGAGGGTTCCAACTGTTCCAACATGTCAATTAATTACTGTTGCGGGCGGATGCACTGGGACAGATTTGTACTTGGATGATAGGATGAAGCAGGGCCAGAGGGTTCCATGGTTGCTGTGTTCTTCATGTTTTCTTCAGAGCAACCCCAAAAGGTAAACAAAAAAGAAGCTGATCAAATCCTACTAAACTAGTGGCAACACATTTTCGATGTCTATGGGGCTTCATCAAATTAGCTCCAGCTTCACAGCCCAAAAAGGCCTCGGCGTGCCCAGAGAAGGTGCTGCTGGAAGGGGATGTGAGACGATCAGATGCGGCGGTGTTTCTGTAGGTTGACATGGCCTTCATATTTCGATGTCTCTAAAAATGGGCTTTCGGCTATCATTCATAGTTGCCTGAGTCCACTATAAAAATAGTATTTTCAGCCATTAGTTTCATTTGCCATTTTGGCTTCTTCTATGAAAAAACTAGTTGGCTAAGTCGACTATAAAAATAGTATTTTCAGCCATTAGTTTCATTTGCCATTTTGGCTTCTTCTATGGAAAAACTTGCTGGCTAAGCCGACTATAAAAATAGTATTTTCAGCCATTAGTTGCATTTGCCATTTTGGCTTCATCTATGAAAAATCTAGTTGGCTAAGTCGACTATAAAAATAGTATTTTCAGCCATTAGTTTCATTTGCCATTTTGGCTTCATCTATGAAAAAACTAGTTGGCTAAGTCGACTATAAAAATCGTATTTTCAGCCATTAGTTTCATTTGCCATTTTGGCTTCATCTATGGAAAAACTAGCTGGCTAAGCCGACTATAAAAATAGTATTTTCAGCCATTAGTTGCATTTGCCATTTTGGCTTCATCTATGAAAAATCTAGTTGGCTAAGTCGACTATAAAAATAGTATGTTCAGCCATTAGTTTCATTTGCCATTTTGGCTTCATCTATGGAAAAACTAGCTGACTAAGTCGACTATAAAAATAGTATTTTCAGCCATTAGTTGCATTTGCCATTTTGGCTTCATCTATGAAAAAACTAGTTGGCTAAGTCGATTATACAAATAGTATGTTCAGCCATTAGTTTCATTTGCCATTTTGGCTTCATCTATGAAAAATCTAGTTGGCTAAGTCGACTATAAAAATAGTATTTTCAGCCATAGTTTCATTTGCCATTTTGGCTTCATCTATGAAAAAACTAGTTGACTAAATCGACTATAAAAATAATATTTTCAGCCACTAGTTTCATTTGCCATTTTGGCTTCATCTATGAAAAAACTAGTTGACTAAGTCGACTATAAAAATAGTCTAGTATTTTCAGCCATTAGTTTCATTTGCCATTTTGGCTTCATCTATGAAAAAACTAGTTGGCTAAGTCGACTATAAAAATAGTATGTTCAGCCATTAGTTTCATTTGCCATTTTGGCTTCATCTATGAAAAAACTAGCTGGCTAAGTCGACTATAAAAATAGTATTTTCAGCCATTAGTTTCATTTGCCATTTTGGCTTCATCTATGGAAAAACTAGCTGGCTAAGTCGACTATAAAAATCGTATTTTCAGCCATTAGTTTCATTTGCCATTTTGGCTTCATGGACGGAAATACTAGTTGGCTAAGTCGACTATAAAAAATAGTATTTTCAGCCATAGTTTCATTTGCTATTTTGGCTTCATCTATGAAAAAACTAGTTGGCTAAGTCGACTATAAAAATAGTATTTTCAGCCATTAGTTTCATTTGCCACTTTGGCTTCATCTATGGAAAAGACTAGTTGGCTAAGTCGACTAAAAAAATGGCATTTTCAGCCATTAGTTTCATTTGCCATTTTGGCTTCATCTATGGAAAAACTAGTTGGCTAAGTCGACTATAAAAATAGTATTTTCAGCCATTAGTTTCATTTGCCATTTTGGCTTCATCTATGAAAAAATTAGTTGGCGAAGTCGACTATAAAAATAGTATTTTCAGCCATTAGTTTCATTTGCCATTTTGGCTTCTTCTATGAAAAAACTAGTTGGCTAAGTCGACTATAAACATAGTATTTTCAGCCATTAGTTTCATTTGCCATTTTGGCTTCTTCTATGAAAACTAGTTGGCTAAGTCGACTATAAAGATAGTATTTTCAGCCATTAGTTTCATTTGCCATTTTGGCTTCTTCTATGGAAAAACTAGTTGGCTAAGTCAACTATAAAAATAGTATTTTCAGCCATTAGTTTCATTTGGCATTTTGGCTTCATCTATGGAAAAACTAGTTGGCTAAGTCAACTATAAAAATAGTATTTTCAGCCATTAGTTTCATGTGCCGTTTTGGCTTCATCTATGGAAAAACTAGTTGGCTAAGTCGACTATAAAAATAGTATTTTCAGCCATTAGTTTCATTTGCCATTTTGGCTTCTTCTATGAAAAAATTAGTTGGCTAAGTCGACTATGAAAATAGTATTTTCATCCATTAGTTGCATTTGCCATTTTGGTTTCATCTATGGAAAAACTAGTTGGCTAAGTCGACTATAAAAATAGTATTTTCAGCCATTAGTTTCATTTGCCATTTTGGCTTCTTCTATGAAAAAACTAGTTGGCTAAGTCGACTATAAAAATAGTATTTTCAGTCATTAGTTTCATTTGCCACTTTGGCTTCATCTATGGAAAAACTAGTTGGCGAAGTCGACTATAAAAATAGTATTTTCAGCCATAGTTTCATTTGCCATTTTGGCTTCATCTATGGAAAAACTAGTTGGCGAAGTCGACTATAAAAATAGTATTTTCAGCCATTAGTTTCATTTGCCATTTTGGCTTCATCTATGAAAAAACTAGTTGGCTAAGTCGACTATAAAAAACAGTATTTTCAGCCATTAGTTTCATTTGCCATTTTGGCTTCATCTATGAAAAACTAGTTGGCTAAGTCGACTATAAAAATGGTATTTTCAGCCATTAGTTTCATTTGCCATTTTGGCTTCATCTATGAAAAAACTAGTTGGCTAAGTCGCCTATAGAAATAGTATGTTCAGCCATTAGTTTCATTTGCCATTTTGGCTTCTTCTATGAAAAAACTAGTTGGCTAAGTCGACTATAAAGATAGTATTTTCAGCCACTAGTTTCATTTGCCATTTTGGCTTCTTCTATGGAAAAACTAGTTGGCTAAGTCGACTATAAAAATCGTATTTTCAGCCATTAGTTTCATTTGCCATTTTGGCTTCATCTATGGAAAAACTAGTTGGCTAAGTCGACTATAAAAATAATATGTTCAGTCATTAGTTTCATTTGCCTTTTTGGCTTCATCTATGGAAAAAACTAGTTGGCTAAGTCGACTATAAAACTAGTATCTTCAGCCATTAGTTTCATGTGCCGTTTTGGCTTCATCTATGAAAAATCTAGTTGGCTAAGTCGACTATAAAAATAGTATTTTCAGCCATAGTTTCATTTGCCATTTTGGCTTCATGGACGGAAATACTAGTTGGCTAAGTCGACTATAAAAATAGTATTTTCAGCCATTAGTTTCATTTGCCATTTTGGCTTCATCTATGAAAAAACTAGTTGGCTAAATCGACTATAAAACTAGTATTTTCAGCCATTAGTTTCATTTGCCATTTTTGCTTCATCTATGAAAAAACTAGTTGGCTAAGTCGACTATCAAAATAATATTTTCAGCCATTAGTTTCATTTGCCTTTTTGGCTTCATCTATGGAAAAACTAGTTGGCTAAGTCGACTATAAAAATAGTATTTTCAGCCATTAGTTTCATTTGCCATTTTGGTTTCATCTATGGAAAAACTAGTTGGCTAAGTCGACTATAAAAATAGTATTTTCAGCCATTAGTTGCATTTGCCATTTTGGCTTCATCTATGGAAAAAATCGTTGGCTAAGTCGACTATAAAAATAGTATTTTCAGCCATTAGTTTCATTTGCCATTTTGGTTTCATCTATGGAAAAACTCGTTGGCTAAGTCGACTATAAAAATAGTATTTTCAGCCATTAGTTTCATTTGCCATTTTGGTTTCATCTATGGAAAAACTCGTTGGCTAAGTCGACTATAAAAAATAGTATTTTCAGCCATTAGTTTCATTTGCCATTTTGGTTTCATCTATGGAAAAACTAGTTGGCTAAGTCGAATATAAAAATAGTATTCTCAGCCATTAGTTTCATTTGCCATTTTGGTTTCATCTATGGAAAAACTAGTTGGCTAAGTCGACTATAAAAATAGTATTTCAGCCATAGTTTCATTTGCCATTTTGGTTTTTTCATCTGTAAAAAACTAGTTGGCGAAAGTCGACTATACAAATCGTATTTTCAGCCATTAGTTTTCATTGCCATTGTGTTTCATCTATGGAAAAATCGTTGGCTAAAGTGACTATAAAAAATAGTATTTTTCAGCAATTAGTCATTTGCCATTGGTTTATCTATGGAAAACTAGTGGCTAAGTCGAATTATAAAAATAGTTATTCTCGCCATTAGTTTCATTTGCCATTTTGGCTTCATCTATGAAAAAACTAGTTGGCTAAGTCGACTATAAAAATAGTATTTTCAGCCATTAGTTTCATTTGCGATTTTGGTTTCATCTATGAAAAAACTAGTTGGCTAAGTCGACTATAAAAATAGTATTGTCAGCCATTAGTTTCATTTGCCATTTTGGTTTCATCTATGGAAAAACTAGTTGGCTAAGTCGACTATAAAAATAGTATTTTCAGCCATTAGTTTCATTTGCGATTTTGGTTTCATCTATGGAAAAACTAGTTGGCGAAGTCGACTATAAAAATAGTATTTTCAGCCATTAGTTTCATTTGCCATTTTGGTTTCATCTATGGAACAGCTAGTTGGCTAAGTCGACTATAAAAATAGTATTTTCAGCCATTAGTTTCATTTGCCATTTTGGTTTCACCTGTGAAAAAACTAGTTGGCGAAGTCGACTATAAAAATAGTATTTTCAGCCATTAGTTTCATTTGCCATTTTGGTTTCATCTATGGAACAGCTAGTTGGCTAAGTCGACTATAAAAATAGTATTTTCAGCCATTAGTTTCATTTGCCATTTTGGCTTCATCTATGAAAAAACTAGTTGGCTAAGTCGACTATAAAACTAGTATTTTCAGCCATTAGTTTCATTTGCCATTTTGGCTTCATCTATGAAAAAACTAGTTGGCTAAGTCGACTATAAAAATAGTATTTTCAGCCATTAGTTTCATTTGCCATTTTGGTTTCATCTATGAAAAAACTAGTTGGCTAAGTCGACTATAAAAATAGTATTTTCAGCCATTAGTTTCATTTGCCATTTTGGTTTCATCTATGGAAAAACTCGTTGGCGAAGTCGACTATAGCCCATTTCTTCCGAAATGATCCGGTCCATTGTAACCAGTGGATCTGGGGATAGCCTATTGACAAAGCCATTTTCTGTTTTTTTCTTGTCCAACTCATGGAATGGATCACAGCAATGATTCCATGGGATATTGATATGATGGGCGCCCACAATGTCTGTGTGTTGCTTGAAACGACTTAGAAACGACCGTGAAACTTGTTGATTTTGAGTCCAGTCCTCATTAGTCACTCATGTTTTCTTGAGTTTGTTGCTTGAAGACTTGAAAACCCAAGGTATCCCTGATTAAATTCGTGAAAAAACTGGTTTTATTGGTGAAATCCTCCATTGTTCCACTACTAACCACTACTCAACTGCTTGATGATACCATGGTCGCGACATCAGGACCGATGGACACTTTTAGAAAGATGGACACCCGGGTTTCAGCGTGAGTTGAACTATTGAAACAGGGATGACACTGAAGAGGAAACCAAAGCTCAAAAACCATTCCAGTTGATGAAAGAAAACCACTCCTGAGGTTTTTTGTTGCATGCTTTTCTCGGCGGAACCGTTCCGATTCCGATGGTTCATTGATCGCGTCCCAATGTCTGATATGTATGTTACAATAGCCATGTTGGTGAAACACGGGACTGAAGCAACGATACCCCGCAACGGGAATTTCACCCACCGTGACTTTCACCAGGTGTCGGTGGAGTCTGTTGAGTCAGTCGAGGAATCTCGTCACAGGCGCAAGGAGAAATGGGATTCCCAAAGCCCAAATGGCTTGATGTTGTTTTTTTAATACATACAGTATTATCATATTATATCATGACAAAAGAAACAATGATGATATGAGGATACAACGGGAGAGAAGGCAGTGCATACATATTATGTTTATACAGCGTAGATACGGTATATCTGTCCCCATATGAGTCATGAGATTCTCAAAGGATCGATTCCTTCGTGCATGGAAACAACGTTGGGATCTCTTTAATCAACTGAGGTGGTGAAGAGACTGATCCTCCTGTTTTTTGGTTGTCCAAATGGACATACGATCAGTGGGCACCCGTAGGTATCTTAAGTTGGCTTGTAGCTAGAATAACTAGGGATTATAGCATATGGCGGTGAAACCGCTATAGTTAATGAAGGTTTTTTCCAACCAACACATGGTTTATTTAAAGCATATTCCTCCATATTTCAAGGTCAATCTTTTCTGAAAATGCATGATCCATTTTATTTCGGAACCCCACAATGATTCTGTGATGCACATCATTCCTATTCCAGCTTCCAGCTTCGCTATGTTTGGTTCCTATGTTATTGGAGGGTCCCTACAAGGTAGTAGAGTCCCCCTAGTTGCAAGTTGGTTCGAAACAACCTACCAACCCCATCTAATTGTGCCTATATTCACCATAAACCCTACTTAAGCTACGTAGTTATTGCACCAACTTAGCTATGATAAATCACCCATAAATCACAATTTTTGTTGGTTAAACTTGGTTAAAGCAACATTTTTCAATGGCTAAAATGGCTAAATACCCATCATTCAGCTGAACCACGGAAGCATCAGGGTAAAGATTCGGGTGCAGACCATCTTCGCCGAGCTATTAGTACCTGGGCCGAACGGATCCGAAAAAAAGGGCGCAGGTTTTGGCAACGGCAAAAACAACTGGTTGCTGGTGCAAAAAGAAGGTAATTATAGATTTGGATGTTCCATGAGGTTTCATGGTGTTTCATGATGTTTCTGAAATTGGAAAAACCTATCGTTAAAACCCCTCCTCACAAGAAGTTGTCAAAAAGATAAGCAATTGGAAAATAAGTTGGTTCACCATGTGTGGAAACACCCCGTATTAACGTTTTATCCTTTATGTGAAGCACACAGTGCTTGAACCTCACCAAACACGGAGAACACCAGGGGATTTGGAGACGGATTTGGAATGGAAAACGGATGTCCTTGAGGCCCAATTGCCAATGCAATATAGTAATCTACAATGTATACATGGGAGCCGTCCGTAAAAGCAGGTAACAAATTTATGAATTGATGCGTTTACTCTGCTTTGCGCGATTGCCAAAACCTGCATCGCGATAGGCTGAGCGATTGGTTGGCGATTGGTTATACGGCTACGACGACTACTACTACTACTACTACTCCTACTACTACTACTAGTCCTACTACTACTACTACTACTACTACTCCACTACTACTACTACTATACTACTAGTACTACTAGTACTACTAGTACTACTAGTACTACTAGTACTACTAGTATTACTAGTATTACTAGTATTACTAGTACTACTAGTACTACTAGTACTACTAGTACTACTGCTGCTGGTACTACTGTGAGTTTTCCGGACCGTTTCCGGACCGCGCAAGCTTATTTTGCTCCCAAATTTGAAATCGAATGCGTTCACGCATGGATCCTTACTCTCATTACTAGACTTGCTACTACTCTTAGTACTACCACCACACCTGCTGCTACTGCACCACCACTACCACTAGTACACCTAGGAATTTCTGCCTTTGCTTTTAAATCCAATTGACACGAGTCCCGCTGAAGGGTCAGAAACCAGTCAGAAACCAGTCAGAAACCCGTCAGAAACCGGCCAAACGCAACCATTTGTTTTCCCCCTCCCTCCCTCTCTCTCTCTCTCTTTCCCTCCCTCTCCCTTTCTTCCATACTAGAACTCCTAGTCCTATTCCCACTCCCACCCCTCCCCTACTCCAACCCCCACTACCACCACCTACTACTACTACTACTGCTACTGCTACTGCTACTGCTACTGCTACTACTACTACTACTACCACCACTAGTAGTACTACTACTACTACTAGTACTACTAGTACTACTAGTACCACTAGTACTACTAGTACTACTGCTGCTGGTACTGCTGTGAGTTTTCCGGACCGTTTCCGGACCGCGCAAGCTTATTTTGCTCCCAAATTGAAATCGAATGCGTTCACGCATGGATCCTTACTCTCATTACTAGATTTGCTACTACTCTTAGTACTACCACCACACCCGCTGCTACTGCACCACCACTACCACTAGTACACCTAGGAATTTCTGCCTTTGCTTTTAAATCCAATTGACACGAGTCCCGCTGAAGGGTCAGAAACCAGTCAGAAACCCGTCAGAAACCGGCCAAACGCAACCATCTGTTTTCCCTCCCTCCCTCTCTCTCTCTCTCTTTCTCTCTTTCCCTCCCTCTCCCTTTCTTCCCTTGCCCTGCTACTAGAACTCCTACTCCTATTCCTACTCCTACTCCTACTCTTACCTACTACTACTACTACTACTACTACTAGTACTACTAGTACTACTAGTACTACTAGTACTACTGCTGCTGGTACTACTGTGAGTTTTCCGGACCGTTTCCGGACCGCGCAAGCTTATTTTGCTCCCAAATTTGAAATCGAATGCGTTCACGCACGGATCCTTACTCTCATTACTAGGCTTGCTACTACTCTTAGCCCTACCACCACACCCGCTGCTACTGCACCACCACTACCACTAGTACACCTAGGAATTTCTGCCTTTGCTTTTAAATCCAATTGACACGAGTCCCGCTGAAGGGTCAGAAACCAGTCAGAAACCCGTCAGAAACCGGCCAAACGCAACCATCTGTTCCTCTCCCTCCCTCCCTCTCTCTCTCTCTCTTTCTCTCTTTCCCTCCCTCTCCCTTTCTTCCCTTGCCCTGCTACTAGAACTCCTACTCCTATTCCTACTATATTTTATGTGTATGATCTGATCAACGAAGAACAAACCCTTCCGCGATTGCTCATTGTGGTACCGCGGTTGCTACGCGATTGGCTGAGCGATTGAGGGCTGTCCGGGAAAAGGTATTTTGGACAACCCCCACATATATATATATATATATTATATATGATATAAATTATAAAATACAGTATATCGAAACGTGATTTCTCACTATTCTAGTGGGACTTCCCATTTTGCGGGTTACAATATCATATTATATAACAATCATCATCACACCGTTTTCAGTCGCGTTCTCATTCAGCCCAAGTTTGAAACCCTACACCGAATCTGGGTGCAACGTGGAATTTGTGGGGTTACCGTGTTACCGTGTTGCAAGGATATTTGCCAAGTGATGTTTACTGTATACCAATGACGAATAGGGTCAAGACATTTAAGTGGTAGATGCCTGGAATTCTACTACATCAAATGCATCTAAAGCGAAGGAGTGGCAGGGGTGTTCTCATACTTGTGCTTCATCAACCACAATTTGTGCGAAATTCCAAGCCGCAGTTGATTGGGTGTTGGAGTTGAGTGACATTACCATTTGTTTTTTAATGGGATATTATTTCAGGTATTGTTATCCATATTGAAGTTTCTATATCATATATAAACATATATAAACCAGCCTGGACGGAACTGACACAAAAGTGGTAGATATGGCTCATTTGCATGTCACATCCTTGAGTCTTAGAGGCCATGTACACACCCAAAAGTACATGGGCGTATCTGAAATGGGGTATATACCATCTAGGGCTACTTTGATGGGGAAAATGATGGAACGTCATTCAATTTGGAGGTACAACATATTTTCAGTCAAACCCAGATCAGTATATGTATCCATTGATCCACAATGTCTAACCGCTCTTACCTTGGTTTGCGGTTTTAAAAAAAAACATGTTGGTGAACCAACCGTGTGCAACATGGACATCCATGGGATGGATGACCATCAACAAGGAAATCATGTTTAATAAAGTATTATATTGTGATATATGATACTTATGCCACCTTATACCTATTGACATAATTTATGATAGTTGATTTATGGATGTTAGTTTCAGTAGTCAATATAGTTGAACTTATACTACAGTTAATACCTATAGTTATAGTTATATTATAGTTATATTATAGTTATAGTTACTATAGTTGAACTTACTATAGGTGAACTTACTATAGATATAGTTTATACTTACTATCTTCACTGGATCAGTCCCTGGGCTCCGGCGGGCTCCGGCTGGGTCCGGCGGGGCCAAAGGTGACCAATGCAGCTCCCGGCAGCAAAACCTCTGAGGTTCGTGGATTCTTTGCTGTTGGCCATTTTTCATGGGCATATTTGCTGTTCACGATATGGAGTCTATATATATATATATAGTTACATGTTTTAACATAATAGGTATATTTAACTATATGATATAGAATTATATATCATTCACATCTCCCATTGTAACAATAACATGGCGAGGTGGGCGGCGAAGCCTTGAAACTGGCGCAGACGGACCGGCCCTTGCCAAAGTGACCCTCCGGGGATGATGGGAGTTGGGGATGGAAACCCAAAGCCAGGGGAAAGGATGGGAAAAAGTTATGGTTTTCAAAACGCCTGGATTTTCCCAGGTGTAAACATGAATCAACTCCATTTTTAGACTGGTAAATTCTGAAACGTATTTTGACTTGGACTTTTGTAGATGTGAAACTCTTTTCCAGATTTTTCCAGGAGTTCCAAGTTGTTTGACCTGATGTGACTGCGGCAGGGCTCGGCTATAGGTACTTTGCGAGTGGCGCCCCAAAGCTGGAGATCCTTGGTGCCGTTGGTGCGTGCGAAAAAAATAAGGGTCATGGAAAACATGCGATTTATGCTGAGTTTTTAAGCGGGTTACAAGATGTTACAAGTAGTCAGTTATAACCCACCAAAAAAATCCCAAGTATCAGTTGACTAATTCCATAGCCCATAAAAATGTGGTGCCATATGGTGCCATGCAAATGTCAAGCTACGTGTTTCATGGTCTGGTGACAAAGGTCGTTGTTTCCGTGTTCCCAATTTTCGTCGTTGGAGGGTTCAGGGTTAGATCAAACTGGCAAACCTAAATATGTTCAGAGGCTGATTGACTTTTTTTGACCTAACAGCCTACACAGGTCATCAACTGGAGCTTCTGGAACCCAAGTCTTTTGCATTTCTTTGAACCTATGTGTTGTAGACGGAGGGAACCAAGGGAACCACAAATCATCGGAAACGGGCGTCCCTTCCTGGAAACATAACTTTCCATCTGGCCATTCTTATTAAACCTTGAATCTCGCAAAGTCTTTCTTGGACCAAAGGATTAACACCTGACACAGCTCTCACTTAGGATGATTGGAGCAGTGGACAAAGCCGCACAAGATGGTGACTCGTCGTGCAAGCTTGTCCAGAAAATATATGGTGGTTTCATAACATGGGGGGATACCCGAGTCATCATAGGTTTCAATCCTAACCTGGTGAAAAAAATTGGACAATTTGGGGGGGTACCCCCCATTTTGAGAAACCTCCATTAATATTGATTGCATTCTTACATGCTTTTCTTTGAAACTAGGAGATATCAACATATTTAAACCATCAATAAACATCATGAAAGATGTATTTTTGTTTGGAGCCATGAATCAAGGGAAGATCATGATGTCACCATGGGATCTACGGGGATCAATGGGGATCAACGAGGCGCCGCCCAAGAGCAAAGAGATCTGTTGGTGCCGGAGCTGTGCGGTGGGGACACTGAGAGATTTTCGATGCCCGTCATTCCCATCATGGAAGACCATGAGATGCCATTCATTTGGGGTCCAAAGAAATCCAAACAGACACGAGATATATGATGATATGTTATATCTGGTTGGTGGTTTGGAACATGACTTTTATTGTCCCCAATGGTTGGGATGATCCAATCTGACGAACTCATATTTTTCAGAGGGGTAGGTATACCACCAACCAGATATGTATTGGAATGGAATGCATCTTAAAACATGTTAAAACCTGCACATCACCTGTTTTAAGACGGAAGTCCTTGAGGAAATGGGACATGTCCGAAATATGGATGCCATAGCTATGGTGATTTTTGAGTTTGATGCACACATCGGTTGGATAAGAAAATGGAAGGAGCTTAGCTGCAAGGTTGGGGCCAAGTAATTTTGCTAGGCAAGATTTGCTTGTTGCGTTGGAGGTATACTCTACATTTTTTTCCATGAGCAAATATTTGGGCAGGTGTTTGTGAACATATCCGCCACGGTGTGATGTCATGCGCAGGAACTCAGGTGGATCATTGAATTCACACATGTAGTGTCCACATTGAGAACATTGACATGGTCGCTCAAGAAAAATTGAGCATGATTGAGCCAACTCTACACTTAGCCAAATCATCAGCTATAGTGGCTATACTTGTGCAAAAAAACGAAGCCAAAAAGGTCGTGCCAAAACTTCCACCCTGCCAAACAGGACAGTCACATTTTCGTTCAGTTGCGGAAGGGTGCACCAGCTCGTGCACCGGACACACGATCGCAATGCTCACGATGCATGCGGAAACCTGGGGAGATCAAATCAGGGCCTATGAAAGGGAGAAGAGATATGTTGTGGATGCTGGCTTTGTCAGTGGTCAGCCCTTACGGCTTCAACCTGGGATGTTCCAAGCGCAGGAGAGATCTAAGCTGCGGATAGTGCAATGGTGCGGGCCTGTGATTTGAAAGCCACTGAACAATTACCTAAGAGGTTGTTAGGTCATGTTTGGTCTACATTTGCCCTGATGTTTATTGTGAATACGTGTGGATACGTCTTCATTAATGATTTTTTTGATGGCTCAAAGTATCGTCGACCATTCAAGGCTCTAGAATATTGAATAGGGACCTTAAACAATTTATAGATATCATTGGAAAAAGAACAAACAACAAACATGCAAACATGTTGAATGGGGTTTAGGATTGACTGTACGATGTATGATAGAATATCCAGACGTTCAGGGGCTATGGTCCGAATCAATTACCGAACGCTCCCAATCAGACCCACATGTTGATAGCCACATCGCCCCATCTCTACTACAGTAGTAATTACTGTATTTGTTTGTATGGTTCATCATCGTAAGGATTACAAGGGTCCAATGTTTAGTGGGTACCACATTGTTCTTGGCAAAACCATGTTAAGCACTGTATACCGCCGTCAAAGTATATTATTATACATTATGTCGACACATACATATCAACATTGAAGGAACACACATGTTTCCTCGATTACAGCAATAACTAAATCATAAACATATATATATATATATACAATTATACAATATTATTACAATGCAGTTTGATGATGTTTATATGGGATATAACATGATATAACATGATACAACGATCTCACAGCTGACTCGCAGGAAAGGACCTTTGATCCGGTGCTGGGACGCTACCGCGATGGTCAGGTGGAGTCTCAGCAGCGGCATGCGGAGGAACGGGAACGCGTGGCACACCTGAACCGCGCCAAGGATATTCAGATCCTCAGGGAGCAGCCCTTCAACATCCTAAGTCAGGACTAGATTCACTGGATTGAGATTCATGTTTTGTGTGGTTTAACTTGGTGGATGGTTCTTGGGTTGAACATATGGTTGAAGACGTTTTGAAAGATATGAAAATCCGTTGAATATGGATGATATTGGAGTATATTGTTATTGGAATAGAGTATAATCATGCTAGTCAACCCCTTTACGAAGCAGTTAGACCCTTCAGGAGTCGAAACTCGACAAGTTGGCTCCTGGCAAGGACCCCATGCGTTTGGGCGGACATGGCACCTTAGGCGAAAAGGAGAGGACCAAGGAGGGCAAGGGCAACTTTCCGGACACGGCGGTGGATTATAACATCCTGTCAAACTTGCCCTTCAAAGATCAGCACTGGGCCACCAAAGAGAGGCGTCCACGAATGAAGGAGAAGTCCCCAAGGATTCGAAAGAGGCCGGCCTTTCTGTGCAAGGACTTTGATATTGTGACCAACAGGTACTTAGACAACCACTCAGAGAAACTTGGCCATAGTCTTAACATGTTCATATTTATCTATAGATATATGTATTTATTTACGTATTTATTTATTTATTTATAATTGCATGTCCTTTATCATTTTGCTTGGAACGTGGTTCTAACATGTTCTAACCGTGTGAATTAAGCTATTTTACTTCGTCTATAGCAATGTATTTTTTTCTGAGCATCCCTCATCAGCGGCTGGTTCACTGCATCCCAGGAAGCTACGTCAAGAGAAGCGAGTGAATTTGTTAGAGGCCACCGAGAAACATATGAAGACCAACGCCTTTGATCCACTGGTGGGGAAATTTGTTGACCCACTGGTGGAAGAGCGTGTGAAGAGCATCGATGATGCACGTGAGGTTGAGATCAACATGCGCGGTGATGCCAAGTTTCCACCCTCTTATAAGGGAAGAGAAACTGCAGCCTATGGCATTGTTTCCCATGAGACCTATGACAGGGACATGCTGCGGCTGTATGACACCCTGGAGAAGGAAAGGACTGGTCGATTCAAGAATCGCTACATCGTTGATCACAACTTTCATGCTCAGGATATCAAGGGCGACCACATCAATGAGCTCCGCCAATTGAACCGTGTGGCCCCTGAGAGATATGAGGAACAACGAAGACGAGGCTATGACACTTCGATGGCTGCTGGTGATGTTTTTCATCATTTTCCCATTGGTTAATCTACGATGAGGAATCTACTGGGAATATTTGTTGTTTCTGGGAATACTTCACAATCCCTGAAAAAATCCAAGGACATCATTGATGGCAGGGGCTATGGTCCTGGGGCCAAAGAGAAAATTTTACACGAGGCCTTTCCCAAGCCACGCTTGACGCCATGGGAAAAGGCCACCGTTGGTGCGCTCGGTGGTAACGAAGGCTTCATGGAATCGCCATCGCTTGCATCGCCATCGCGATCGGTTGGATCTTTGAAATCAACACAGGAGGCCCGGGGTCCCAACATGATCCCATCTTGAGAAGGTTCTCAACATTTCTCCCCCTAAATTACTACACTTATGTAGATATTCTCTTAGTTAGAAGGTACTTGGATCCATAGAATCCATAGGGCATATCTATACTATAGGAACTATTCAGGAGGCTTTGGGCTTTCAACTTTGGAGTGTTCCGTTCGCTTGGGCTGGTGAAGTTTCTCATTTGTCGTGTAAATCCTCAGTCCACCATCTTCCATAATGTTCCATATAGCTTTGTCGGGAATGATTACCCAAATCCCCTGGTTTCAACTGGCATTTCCCCATATTTTCACATATTGTCACTCGCCAATTGTTTCTTGGTAAATTCTTGTTTTCAGATAGCCCCATTAATATTGATGTCCCCCAAAGATGCTGATAGCCATTTTTTGTTTCATGCTAAACTGATGCTCCAGATCTCCAGTCAACTGAGTGTTTTTTTCCGCCTGGAAAATGTGGGAAATCCACAAAAAAATCGATGATTTTCGGTAAAACTTTCAAGCCCTTAGTGCTGGCATTTTCCATTCCATCTTTGATGACAGCGGAGGGTATACCATTCAATATCCCATTATGAGCAACTGTTGACGATTATTAACCATTACTAGCATTTACTAGCCACTAATAGCCCATTCCCCACCATTTCTAGATCAACAACATTGCTGACCGTTATTAGATTAACAATATAACCATGAATGGAATGTATAGGGATTCAGCTGATCTATGAACCAATTAACCACTACTAGCACGTATTGACCATTTTTGAATCATTACTAGCCGTTCACGATTAGATATCCCATTCTTAGTCATGGAATTCACCACTATTTACCATCACTAATTAACTACTCTTAACCATTACGAGCCATTCTTCTCCCAGAATTCTCCTTGAATTTTGATATGGGGATGGGACAAAACTGCCAACGACCATGGGGGTATTCCAATAGCTGGCTGGTTTACAATGGAAAATCCAAAAAGAACAGTTTACATAAATGGGGATACCCAATAGTTGGATGGTTTATTTCAAGGGAAATCCATCAATGGATGATGACTGGGGGTACCTATATGGGTACCTCCATGACCTCTCGGAAAGCCCCACCAAGACCAAGATCCCAGAAATCCCAGAAATCCCCAAAAAGGTCAGCCCATGGTCAGCCCATCCCAGGTGAAAACGCTTCGCCCCTCCCAGATCGTGACCTCTAGCAGCGCGCCACAACTGGACGCGGCGTCGGTGCGCAGTCGCGCCAGTCGCGCCAGTCGCGGCAGCTCCCAACGCTCTCAAGGCGGGTGATGTGAAACCAGAGGAAAAAATGACGGAAACCATGGTCAATGGGAATTCCAGGATCCTAAAATAGAGGTACTGTACCATTATATCCATTATAAGGCTATTTTTGGGGGGTATATCCCCTTAAATAGCCCTTACATAGGCCTTATATATGGATATATATGGTAGGTACCTCCAATTTAGGTTCCTGAAATAACCATTGACATGGGGAAAATGATGAAAAAAGTGCCGGAAATGATGAAACTGGGTGGATGAACCAGTGAACCAGTCAAACAAAATGAGGATGTTATTGGAACTGTGCGGATCGTGATTTCTTGCATGGTTAATCTACCGTGATTAAGCAACACAAGTTGGGGGTTAAACAGTGGTTCACAATAGTTTCATGGGGATATATTGGGATAATATTATGGGATATACCGGTATACCATGACCCCAATTAAGATAGACCCTGAGCTTTTTGCTGGAACGAAGTGTCTTCCAAGCCCGTATTTAGCAAGGCCAGTGTTAGTGTTAGTTGGATGGAGGGTAAGGGAATTTTGAATGCGCGGTTTTTGTTTTCATGAAAAGGGTTGTTGTCTGAAACGGTTCCCTTCATCCGATGTCAATCACTTAATCCATCGAGAATTATCGCACAAATTGGGAATGTACTGGGAATGATATGGAATAACTTCTGTTGGGGTGAATTTGGGCAGGATTTCGGCTGGATTTGCTGGTGATGTTAGGTGATGAACTGAGTTTCCCTTCAGTTCACCACTTTTTTGGGGAGGGCTTTTTGTCCTGTTTTGACTGATGATAAAGCCAGGAAACTGTTGGATACCCACGGATACCCCATCCATATCATGAATCGTTTATAAAATACGCCATTCTGTTCCCATTGCACATAGCCCCTTTTTTTTACAAGTTTGATAGCCCCATGAACTACTGCTTCCCGACTCATAATTAGCCCAGTGGTTTCGTGAGCATCAGGTCAACATAAATGTTGTTTTATGTTGTTTTCGCCACAGTGAAACGTCACTTTTCAACTTGTTGTCTGAAAAACAGTCTTCTGTAAAATTGGAAAACTACTTTTTTGCATTTCATGTCTTCAGCTTCGGGTTGCTGAAACACTTGTTCCCCTTGTTTCAGAAGCATTTGCATGCCTTCACTGCTTTGCCGATTTCTTTCAGAAATTCCTCAGACATCAGTGGACTTAAGGATTGTCGCCAACAGTATCCGTAAAGGAGCTTATGAAGTTCTGGATGTTCTTGTGTTTTGATTCCATGATGCAAGCATCGTGAAAAACTGCTGGGAAAAAAATGTTTGCTTAACAAGGTTGAGAGCGCAGCATCAAGAGCATGTTGCAAATTGCTTAAGAAGGTTGAGAGCGTAGCATCAAGAATGGGTTGCAAGTTGCTACCGAAGTACCATGGTCCCTGTAACCTTACATGATCTATCGAATATCACCTGTGCGCGTGCCTGCTGAACGCATTGACTGGATGTGCAACTGGTACTTGAACGTTATTGCCCCCCCTCCCACTCCACCCCACCTCACCGAAACAAGAGGCAAACATGCCACAAAATACCACGGCTAGTTAGTTCACTAGTAAATAGATGTATAATGATGTATATAAATAGTTTATATTTTGGAATATAACAATATATTATAATCATATTAGTTTGTAAGTTATAGCATGTTAGAGCCATCACTTACTAACCAGGAATCACTAATCCCATGTCCCATGTACCAATCTCCAGGCTGCAGGTCCCAGAGATCGGCGCCAGCCATGCCAGCCATGCCACCCACACCGGCACCAGCTGCGCCTGTGGTGCCCGGAGCTGCAAGTGGCTCAGCATATTCACGGCCGAGAGATCCATAGAGATCCGGCCGAGGCGTTTCGGCATTTTTGCATCGGTCCGTTTCACACCTGGACTTCGCTGATGTTCGTTTGATCTGTGTTATTTCTTTTGTTCAAAAACTGTAGAAGAAAATGGCAATGCAATTTTTGGTGGTTCTGGAATGATGTCATTATTTCTATTGGTATGTCAATGTGATGATTTTGGTCTTGGGGTAAATTTGATGATGACCTCACATCGCGAAACACTGGAATGATGGTAAGCGGTAACTATCACCAAATGGCCTTGTGTCAGGTTGTTGAACTATGATTTATCCAGATTTGATCACGTTTGATCACGATTGATCGATTGGTGGTTTTAGAATTGTCTCTAGCATACAAATTGATGTTTTTATAGAAAATTCCTACCTGACATCTAAATGGGTTCCATAGCTAGCTTTCTTTTTGGTGGCGGCTCAACCGCTAAACATCTTTTCGAATAGAAGCGGTTGATGCCACTCCAGCAGCTCAGTGATGTCCATTCAGAACTGGCCAAAGGCCAGTAAAAATGCCATCAACACGAGACGCGGCGCTGCTTCGACTGAATGGCATGCCCAGTTTATATAGTAGATGAGATATGATGAGATATGATATCAGATGTCTTAAGGAATGAACTTTATTTTTCTCGAAAAATCAGATGTGCACTTCATGTTTTTTTTTCCGCCATTGTTCCGAACTACTGCATACAGCAGGCGTTTTGGGTTGCGGTTTCACTGTCGTTTCACCCTGCACAGTCACGTGTGCCCTTGAAAGAATTCTGCGGCGAGGGTGGGACAGGTGGGAGATGGGCACCCTTCTGAGAATTGATTTGGATGCGGGCAAAAATACAAAGCATGGATCAAGGTCCCGGGCCCACACACGATCCATATTCCATGATCCATACCCCGATCCATACCCCATGATACTGCATGATCCATACCCTTGATCCATACCCCTGATCCATACCCTTGATCCGTACCCCTTTCTCGTTGAAGAAAGACTGATGCTGGCCCTAATGCTGCTTTTTATCCTAATACTACTTCTGGTCCTCGTACTGCTACTCCCGTTGCTACTACCGTTGTTTCTACTGCTGCCTCCGCTGCCTCCACTCGCTGCCTCCGTTGCCTCCGTGCTGCTGCTGCTGCTGCTGCTGCTGCTGCTGCCACTACTAGTCATCTTCCTCCCAGGAGCTGCTGCTACTGCTGTCGCTTCTGCTGCTGCTCCTGCTGGTCCTGCCCCCGCTGCTGGTGCTGATTCACTTCCTCCGTGTGCTTCTGGTAGTTGGACAAATGCAACTAGTTGACTAGCTACTAGCAATACTGCAAGTGCACCTTGGACGCTAGTAAGACTGGTTCTAGTTCCACTAGGTGCTTCTTGTACTTCTATAGTGGCGCTATGATTACAATTCCTTCTGTTTCTGCTTTGCCTGGCACGTGTAGAACTAGACCAGACTAGAAATACCCCGTTCTCTTCCTTCACAGCCATAGCGGGAAAGCCGGCCCAGATAGCGTGTCCCGATCCATACCCCGATCCATACCCGTTCCATACCCGAACCCAGTCACGCCACAACAAATGCCAATATGAAAGACCGATTCTATTACTACTACTACTACTACTACTCCTACTGCTTCTGCTTCTGCTTCTACTTCTACTACAACTACTGCTACTGCTGCTACTACTACTAGTACTACTACTACTACTGCTACTGCTACTGCTACTGCTACTACTACTACTATTACTACTACTACTACTACTACTACTCCTACTCCTAGTACAACTGCAGCTGCTGCTGCTACTTCCATTAGATTACTATTGTTACTATGACTTTTACTAGTACTACTGCATTTCTACTGCTACTGCATCTCCTCCTTCTATTGCCACTACTGCTGCTGGTGCTGGTTTTTTTTATTGCTCCCTCTACTAGCAGTGGTAGCAGTGTTAGCAGCAACAGTAGCAGGAGGAGAAGTAATAGCAAGTAGGAGATAGTAGGAGTATCAGCACAGTTTGTATGCTATGATGAGCCCTTACGACAGGGTACGGATCAGGCACCTTACGTAAGCACTCCCGATCCATAGTACGGATCACCGCGGAACGATCCATACCAGAATTTATGCTCACAGCCATTTGGATATTTGCTGTTTATTTTGTGTTGTTTATCCCAATATAGTGGTTAATAGTGGTTAATAGTGGTTACTGTAATAATGGTTAATGAAATATCTGGTTGGTGGTTTGGAACATGACTCTTATGAATTTCCATATATTGGGAATAATCCTTCCCAATTGACTTTCATATTATTCAGAGGGGTTGAAACCACCAACCAGGTGTTGTTTTTCAGAAATAGCATCACAAACAGCACAAGTCATTGTGTTGTTTTCTTGTTTTTCAGTGGGAAATAACATCACAAACAGCAGAAGTCATTGTGTTGTTTTCTTGTTTTTCAGTGGGAAATAACATCACAAACAGCACACGTCATTGTGTTGCTTTCTTGTTTTTCAGTGGGAAATAACATCACAAACAGCACAAGTCATTGTATTGTTTTCTTGTTTTTTCAGTGGGAATTAACATCACATACAGCACAAGTCATTGTGTTGTTTTGTTGTTTTTCAGTGGGAATTAACATCACAAACAGCACAAGTCATTGTGTTGTTTTCTTGTTTTTCAGTGGGAATTAACATCACATAATTACAGCACAAGTCATTGTATAGTTTTGTTGTTTTTCAGTGGGAAATAACATCACAAACAGCACAAGTCACTCATTCATGGTGGAGTGATTAGAATGGGCAGCATTTGTGGCCCATCACTTCTTCGACAAACTAAGGTGATTTCTTCCTGCTTTGCATGTCGCTGAAAGAACGCCCGCAGCCGCCCACTGCGGAGGAGTTGATGGATTGGAACTGAGAACACGCTCGAAGATCGTCCTGTCATGACACTCACATAGTATGTATACGGACCTGTTTGTTCACATTTGTTGAAATCTCTTTGTATATTCCAGAGTGTTTCTGGGTTTACAAGTGAGTCTGAGAATATGCTGCTCCTTGTTATTCCTCATCATTCCTCTATTAAATTTGCTGTTTAGGGGTCTACAAATTCTGCATTTTCAGACACACTCAAGTATTTTACTGAAACAACAAATTTGGCTACTGTATATATCCCATTAGATCCCTTTCTTTTGATGGTTAAAACCCATGTTCAATGGGAAAGGAGAGCTACCATTTAGTTCGATGATTTTCCTATTAAAACCTCCATTGAGTTTGGGGATTTCCCAGCTAACCATGTTTGACTACTGGAGGTATATTTTAACATATCTTTGGAGTGTGAACTTCACTTTCAAATATCTATTCAAAATTTGTGTGTATATATAGTACTATATGTTCATATTAGCATATATATATATATATATATATTGTTAATATATCTATCCATCCATCCATCCATCCATTCATCCATCTATCTATCTATTTATCTATCTATCTATCTATCTATCTATCTATCTATCTATCTATCTATCTATATATATATATATGTCTCTCTCTATATATATATATTATATATTGGTAAATAGGTAGTATAATAAAACAGTGTGAGACTGTGACAGTTAAAGATAATATAGATATAGATATTATCAGTGGCAAGCTTGTTTTTGGAAATGCTGCATTGGGCCATCAGCAGGCTGTATTTATAGGCTGTATATGTGTAGCACGTAGGGAATACAATGTGAGTATGTGCATGGTAGAGGGGTATCCCTCAAAGACCCAACCCTTCGGCCCTTTCGGGACAGGTGCCGGACGGGATCGAATACATGCCAATATTATATCAAATGTCCCCCAATAGTTGGTTTCCCAATGGTTGGATCACGTATCAATTATATCATATCCATCCATATCCCCGTATGATATAATTGATACATGATCTGACTGATACAATAAATGGATTATATAACCATTGATGGTTGAGGATTATCGAAGGAAGTTTAGAAGTCAAACTTCCGACACTATGGACAGATGAAAAGCAGAGCAGGGAAGAGGCAGAGAGAAGAGGAAGATTAGAAGAAAGAAGAGTAGAAGAGAAAGAGTAAGAAGAAAGAAGATGCAGATGCGCGAAAAGGTAGGAAAGTCGCGAAACACTGTGTTTTTCCAATGATTTGTGGCTCCGGAGGGTCGAAAAGTAGGCTCGCTAGAGCGGCGGGTGCGGAGCCAGCTGGCCAGATGAGAGATGAAAAATTGCACGCCGTTGTGGCGCGAAGCACATTTGGAAGTCAAAATGTACAAAACACACCATGGTCGGACCACTTTTGGAAGTTGCGATGTCGAAAAAGTGCACGCCGTTGTGGCGCGAAGCACATTTCCAAGTCAAAATGTACAAAACACCTCAGCGTCGGACGAATTTTGGAAGTTGAGATGTCGAAAAAGTGCACGCCGTTGTGGCGCGAACCATATTTCCAAGTCAAAATGTTAAAAACACCAGGGGTTCGGACCACTTTTGGAGGTTCAGATGTCGCTTCGCTTCACTACACTACATTACACTATACTCCACTACACTACACTACATTACACTACACTACGCACCACAACACTACAACTACACCTACACAACTACACTCCACTACACTCCGCGACATTAAATTACACTACGCTACACTACACTACATTACACTACACTACACTACACTACATTACACTACACTACACTCCACTACACTACATTCCACTACACTACAACTACAACTACGACTACACAACTACACTCCACTACGCTCCACGACACTAAACTACACTACACTACACTACGTTACACTACACTACACTACACTACATTGAATGACACTGCACCACAGATAGGCAGGTAGACAGAGAGACAGATAGATAGATAGATAGATAGATAGGTAGGTAGGTAGGTAGGTAGGTAGATAGGTAGATAGGTAGATAGGTAGATAGGTAGATAGGTAGATAGGTAGATAGATAGATAGACAGCTAGACAGCTAGACAGCTAGACAGCTAGATAGACAGAGGAAAGAGAGAGAGAGAGAGAGAGATAGGTAGATAGATAGATAGATAGGTAGATAGATAGATAGATAGGTAATTAGATGAAAGAGAGAGAGAGAGAGATAGATAGATAGATCGATAGATAGATAGATACATAGAAGATAGATAGGTAGGTAGATAGTCAGAGAAAGAGAGAGAAAGAGAGAAGACCTCAAGCACCTTTCGGTCCATCAGTGGATTCGCTCTGCCATCCCTGATTCACAACAACCAATCTCTCCTATAGGTTTCCTATTTTTGAAACTTCCGCCACCGCCTTGTGCGGTACTACTGGTATAACCATTAAATGCTCAACCATCAATGGCTATGTTAGACATTGACCAAGCCCAACATGGTGCGTTGCGGCCGCAACCTCCAGGATCCGAACCTTGACCTCAGCGCGGCAACGAGACTCTTTGGCGACCTCTCGCCGGAGGTGCAGGGAGATCGAGTGCCGTTCCAGTGAACTCAGTGGATATATATTATATGAGCGACGATCAAAACCCCCGCAGAGGAGTTTTATACAAACGTATGAATGGAGTATGTTGTTGTAAATTTGTAGTGCGTTTTGCCTGGGAGGCGCAAGAAAGCGCAAGGGCGGGCGCAAGATATATAGATATATTAATATCGTTGTTCTTTTCTGTATCAGTGAGCATCTGCTGCTGTAGCGGCTCAGAGCTGGTAGGCAGGACAGACGGAACCATACCTACCAAAACGGAATCAAATTCCAAGAGGTATGGTAGAAGCAGAGTGTATACACAATTATACACTTATAAAATTTGATTCCCAAAATGGCCCTTTCGAGCCGAAAAGCAGCTTTACGGGAATCAAATTTCAAGAGGTATGGTAGAAGGAGAGTGTATACACATAGGAAGGTCATTTCTAATAACACACCGGCAACTATGTTTTGATCAACCCCCATATATATATATATACGTACAATATATGTGTATATTCTATCATTATATACATAATGTACAAACCATGTTGTATAATATATATACATATATGTATATAGTCGAACAATAAAACGGATTTTCGTTGATATTGATTCCCGGGCCTGTGTCGAGGTCCCAACTTGTGGAGGGGAACTCAATGTCCTTAACAACCATGGCAGCCAGGGACAGTTAAGTCCTGCACCCGCAGCAGAAATCCTTAAATTGAAAACAAACTGGTCACACCAGCGTGGGTTTGGTGTAGGCCCATGGTAGATTTCTCATGATTTGTCTTCATCACTAGGTTGGTGCATGATGATATTTTACTGGTTTTGTACCCACCAGGTTTGTACCCACCAGGTTTATCTGGGTTTCACTGAAGTAGGCCTCAATAAGTTTCATGGTCATCATTTCTCTGTACTAAATCACCATTTTTGCTATACTAAACATGGCCGTAGATTGGGGGTATCCCCCGTTCCTGGACAAACACAATTTCACATTGCTGGTTATACACAGTTCATATACATATATTTATACATCTATGTATCAATCCATATTAACTATGTTTGTAATAGACATATACGAACAAATATAGACGTATCATACTTTCCTATTACTTCCCATTATGTCATGATAGCATATACCCGGTATATCCGTCATCTCACAAAAAAAAACAACCGGTGACGTTGGTGTCGCAGGCGTCTTCGAGAAGTTTAGATGCGATGGCCACGTTGGCCGAGCAACTTCTGTCGCAAGGCTGTGACGAGTCGGGGCGCCACAGTAGTGGAGTTTCAGCGAGCCTTTCATGGGCATGTGAATGTATGTAGTATTGATATATTTATATATTATACATATACATATGTAAAATAGATAAGATAGATAAGATAGATAAGATGGATACCATAGATAAGATAGATAAGATAGATAGATATATAGATGGATGGATGGATGGATGGATGAATGGATGGATGGATGGATAGATAGATTGATGGATAGATAGATTGATTGATAGATTGATTGATTGATAGATTGATAGATTGATAGATAGATTGGAATGGGATTCATCAACTAGCAATTGGTGTACACTCTACAGACTCTACACAGAATCGCAGACTCATAGGCCTGCTTGATTTCCAGGAATGACAACTATAATTTACTATAATCATACAGCCTCTGACGGAAATCATGGGACCCAAACATTAAATCCATGGTGAAAAACACTGCAAGTCCAATACATTCCACCAGCTGCCTTGCCAGTCCTAATGACCAGATTGGTGCCAGTCCACCAGGGGATCGAACAAAAATCACCATTCTGTATGGCCAGTGGCGGCCAGAGGATTCCCAATTTTATGGGATGACGATAAGCCACCATATCACCATGGCACACATGTGATTTCTACTGAGGTTATCAGAATCCAGGTGAGTTATTCATAGGTCATCAAGGCAACTCCATTCCGGACTCTCTTCAACTTGCGGGGTTTCCCAAGCTCCGAAAGAGCTTGCCGTGGCAAAATATAATCTACTCTCTGGTAATTTAACATAGCTATTGAACATGGCGCATTTATAGTTGATTTAAGTTGATTTACCTATAAATGGTGATTTTTCATAGCTATGTTACTTTACCAGAGAGTAAACCTTGGAATGAATTGCCTCTCCCTTTGGATTTGCCGAGACACCCCTTGCGATCTTACTGCCTGCAGATAATTTTATTGTCCCTGTCAAATCCTTGTCAACTACACATGCCATCAAACCTCAAGAACATGGAAAGCACGGACGAGATACCCTCTGGTAAACTAACATAGCTGTTGAAAATCACCATTTTTAGTGGGTAAATAAACTAAACATGGAAGTTTTCAATAGCAAACCGTTAAATTACCAGAGGGTACCTGACACATCTCATGGTCAACATTTGATTCACAAAAGTTATCTGAACGACCATCCCCTTCAACCTTTGACCATGGGGTGACGGGACTCTAATCTCCATGGCGTTGTCTTAAGCATGTGGGGAAAACATAGGAACACCCACTCCATCAACAGGTGAATCATAAACATTTCCCTATGAAACACCTGCCATATATATACCATCATAATATATCATCATATACCCAGTTTTGGCAGACACACCGGAAGAATGCCAAGAACATCTCGGATTGCATCTGCCGAAACATAGGCTTCAAAGTCCTCCGTTCCTACGAGCCGTGATGGTGCTGTCAGCCCTGCCCTTGTTTTTTTTCACGGATTGGCGGTGGCTTGGAAGTGCCTGAATGCGAGATCCGATATTTTCAAACAACTTGAACAAACTTGAATTTAAGACAGAGAACAGTCCCATGATATTCCCATTATATATATATATATTGAACAAAAACATGGTCTAATGATTTCATCAATACCAATCTTTTAAGTCAAATAGTTTTCACAAACAAAAAACATCAGAGGGCTATAACACCATTGCTAATCGTTATTTTTAAAAAATGTATAAAACCATTGTATAACACCATTGGCCATTGCTAAACATACTCCTCAGTTTCAAAAGCCTGGTGTCGCCAGGCTTTCGCATCCGGGGCTCGGTGAACCGGGGGATTTCCAGGCGGCGTTCTGAGAAAATCCGTTGGGATTTGGTTGGGATTTACACTGGGGTAAACCAAAAAAAAACGTGGAAAAGCCAAGAAAGCCTTGAGAAATCCAAAAAAAAAATGATCTAGAAATTGGTGGGTAAACTCCACAGCTGTGTTAGTTTACAGGGAGGGTATTTGGGGTTCTAAGTGGAGTATCGGTGTCATCAAACTTGGGCTGGACAATCCCCCATTCAGTTCGTTGATTTTACCAGCTGCACCCATTCAATTCAGGGACTTTCCAGCTAGCCATGTTTGATTGCAGGGTATGTGGGATTTAAGCCGACAACCATGGGAATATCATGGGAATACACCCCCTTCCAGCCCTGAAAGCATATGGTTTTTCTTTGGGGATAGAACATTTTTGGCGCAAAGAAGAATTCGGGTGTTGAATATGAACGGAGGATGGGATCAAAAACCCAGTTGAAGATGAAAACCTGACAGATTTTCTCCAAGGAGTTTTTTTTTCTGTCCATGTCCATGGATTACATTGGTTAACCGGTCGGTAGTTTCATGTGTTTTTACTGTAGATGTTCAGACCTAAACATGGGATGACGATGCCAACTGAGGATCTAATTAATATACAGTATGGCTCATGTTTTTCTGTGCTTGAAGCCACAATATACCCAGCAAAGGTCTTTGGATGTTTCTTTAATTTTTACCATGGAGGAGTGCAGCGATTTGATTCCAATGGTTCATACGAGTTTTCCAATGCTTTAAGTAGTTACCCAGGTTGCTCAAAAATTAAAATATATAATCACCACCCCTTTAGGCTAATTGCAAGCAGGGGGGCGTTCCAAAAATGTAGATTGCAATTTTGCCCCTTCGGAATTTGACCGCAGGGGTCATGCTAATTGCAACCCCCCAACGTCAGAAGCCGAAGCCTAAAGTTTTTACATTTAGAGAGGGGGGGGATGAAAAATAAAAGCACGTAATAGACCGGTCACCCCGTACCCCCCCCCGAACCCCCGAACCTACCCCCTTCGGACATTATGGAAGGGGGGGGGAGGGAGGTAACAATTGTAAAATGTCTGACGAATTGTCCGAAAACAGTCTCCAAGAAGTTTGCAGATGTTTGTAATCAACCCACACCTAAGGTCCATATTTACTTGCAGAAACAGCTCAAAGTAGATGATAAAATCAAGATAAATCCATGTAACCATCCTACATCTAAGGTCCTTATTCACTTTGAAATTTGATGGGGTACATTCGAGGTCCATTTGAGGTACATTTGAGATATATTTGAGATCATTTAGGTGCAGAAATGGCTCACTTTTTTTTTTGATATGACTTGGCTCTGGAAAGCAAAGCCAGATTCTTTACCTCAATTTCAAGTAAGCATCCATTTACAAGTGGTTTTCTTATATACACTGCAACGCAGTGAAATGATGGATCTACCATGCATTTCCTGGTTCTGCAGGGGTTGAAGCTTACAGTCAAACAGGATTACTCTCCAACCTACATTTTTCTTTTTTAAAATCCAGTAGCATACCGATCCGATATTTTCACCTTTTTTTTTGCACGTTTCTGCGACATATCCTCAGGACCTTTTCAAAGATCCCGAAATTCTTTGCTTCCCTTCCTTTCTTACATCTTTCTGGTTCCTTACCTCCTATGTGATGCTTCTGTATTGTCTTCCCGTCTCGTTTATTCTGTCAAGTTTTTGGAGGGGACTGTTGTGAACCTGTTCCTGCAAGTAAATGTGGACCTTAGGTGTAGGATGGTTACATGGGTTTATCTTGATGTTCTCATCTATTTTGAGCTGTTTCTGCAAGTAAATATGGACCTTAGGTGTAGGATTGTTACATGGTTTTATCTTGATGTTCTCATCTATTTTGAGCTGTTTCTGCAAGTAAATTTGCACCTTAGGTGTAGGATGGTTACATGGTTTTATCTTGTTTTTATCATCTACTTTGAAGTGTTTTTGCAAGTAAATGTGGACCTTAGGTGTAGGATGGTGACACGGGTTTATCTTGATGTTCTCATCTATTTTAAGCTGTTTCTGCAAGTAAATATGGACCTTAGGTGTAGGATGGTTACATGTATTTATCTTGATTTTATCTTCTATGTTTTTTTTGAGCTGTTTCTGCAAGTAAATATGGACCTCAGGCATACGATGATTACATGATTTTTACACCTGTGCTGAATTAATTTCTCATTGGCAGGAGGCAAATTTGAAGACCTCCAACATGTATTTTTACATTTATTGAGTTTCAAGGATTTCCAATAATTTGCAAGGAATAATATACCTTCCCTAAATCTATATTACATGTGTAAATGATGAACAAGTGTAGAATTCAATGAAAATAACAGGCAATCGAGGCCCTCTAGGGATACAGATTGCAATTATGATTTTATGCAATTCTGCAGCTATTTGCAGACCTCCAGACTATTGTTCTTGCATTTTTTCCATGTTCTTACATTTGTTTCCGTAAAATGCAACTTGCAATATTGGACGCCCCCCCTGGAAAATAATTGCAAGTCGGTAAAACGTGGGGGTACATAATTGCAATCTACGAACCTATCAAAATGCAATCTTGCAATAAAGACGATGAAAAAAAAATGTAAGCATACATTTTCATAGGTCCCCCCCCCAAAACAACGTCTTATTGCAAGCTTGCATTTTGAGCGTCCCCCCTCCTTAAAAGGGTGGTGATAATATATATATATATATATATTTTTTTTACTATTTCCCCACGAGGGTTGTGCAAATCCACAAGGAGGATGCTTATGGCTTATGGAACATGCTACAAGTGCGGGATTGGTGTTCAGCAGGATGTCAAAGAATGACGCGGTCTGGTGGTTGTTGAGAGCACCCACTCTTGGAATTCACTTTAAACTTACCAAATGGAGAACGACCGAATCATCCGCTGTTTTCATGGAGATTCCCTAAAAACCTGCCATTTCAGCGGGGAAAATCCTCGAACGACATCCGTTTTCGAGCCATGTTTGGTGACAGAGGATGATCCGAAGAATTGATCCCGGGAACAATCTGATGGAAAGTTGCAGGATGAAGGTCATGGCATTTTTGAACAACCTGATGGATATAAGCCATAGAATCCCATAGAAATCCGGTATCAATGCCATGATCAGGAAGGCTGCGGTTCGTTTAGGTTCGTTTCGGTTCGTGGAAACCTCAAATAGGGGCGGTTCGGTTCATCAGTAGGCCGGTTCGTTTCGGTTCGCGTGACATGGCCGTTCGGTTCGGTTCGGTTCGGTTCGTGTGACATGGCGGTTCGGTTCGGTTCGTGTTGTGTAGTGTTGCAGGACGAGAGGTCTTTGACAGAATGGGTTTGGATGAATAGCAAATAGTAATGTTATGTTGCAGCAGAGGGATTTTGTTTTTGAATGTTTTGAAACTGGTGGTGGGGCCGAGTGTTTGCAGCATCTAAGTAAGCAGTGTCCAAAACCACGGTTTTTTGATGACTAAAGTGCTTATGCTGTTTCTTGGATTGGGGATAATGATTATCATTATCATCAACTATTAGAATTCGTACATCTAACCAGTGTACAGTGAAATTGACAGATCCATTGCCAACGGCATTTTCATTTTGCGAAAATCACTTTCAGCTGTCGAAATCCAGTCGTGGCCGGAAGAGGTTCAATCAGCAGCCAAAGTCCATTTTCATATGGCGAAAGTCGTTTTCAGGCATCGAAATTGAGGCAGTGCCTGCAAAACCCGAACATTAGCCAAACATTATTTTCATTGTGCGAAAATCAGTTTCGGAGTTGTTTTGGCAAAAAGTGGAAAAAAGTTGTAGTAGCAGCAGCAGCAGCAGTAGTAGTAGTAGTAGCAGTAGTAGTAGTAGTAGTAGGAGTAGTAGTAGTAGTAGTAATAGTAGTAGTAGGAGTAGCAGTAGCAGTAGCAGTAGCAGTAGCAGTAGCAGTAGCAGTAGCAGCAATATAAGTAGAATTAGTAATAGTAGTAGTAAAGAAGTAATACTAGTTCTAGTAAGACTACGAGTAAGAAAAATAGTAGCCTCTCGTAAGCGGTTCCCCAGCAGGTATGGGTCCCGACCGGGCTTTGCCGAACAGGAACGGGCAGAGAGGCTAGTAATAGAGGTAGCAATATAATATACAACAGTAGGGGTGGTGATAGCAACAGTAATAGTAATAGTCGCAGCAGTAGTAGTCTAGCCGTACGAGGACGAATAGTATTAGATGCTTTCCTTAACTTGATTTTCACTGCGCGAAAATCATTTTCGGAGTTGTTTTGGCAAAAAGTGAAAAAAGTTGTAGTAGTAGTAGTAGTAGTAGCAGTAGTAGTAGTAGTAGCAGGAGTAGTAGTAGTAGTAGTAGTAGTAGCAGTAGCAGTAGTAGCAGTAGCAGTAGTAGCAGTAGCAGTAGCAGTAGCATTAGCAGTAGCAGTAGCAGTAGCAGCAATATAAGTAGAATTAGTACTAATAGTAGTAAAGAAGTAATATTAGTTCTAGTAAGACTACGAGTAAGAAAAATAGTAGCCTCTCGTAAGCGGTTCCCCAGCAGGTATGGGTCCCGACCGGGCTTTGCCGGACAGGACCGGGCAGAGAGGCTAGTAATAGAGGTAGCAATATAATATACAACAGTAGGGGTGGTGATAGCAACAGTAATAGTAATAGTAGCAGCAGTAGTAGTCTAGCGGTACTAGGACGAATACTATGAGATGTTTTCCTTAACTTGATTTTCACTGCGCGAAAATCATTTTCGGAGTTGTGTTGGCAAAAAGTGGAAAATAGTAGTAGTAGTAGTAGTAGTAGTAGTAGCAGTAGCAGTAGCAGTAGCAGTAGCAGTAGCAGTAGCAGCAATATAAGTAGAATTAGTACTAATAGTAGTAAAGAAGTAATACTAGTTCTAGTAAGACTACGAGGAAAAATAGTAGCCTCTCGTAAGCGGTTCCCCAGCAGGTATGGGTCCCGACCGGGCTTTGCCGAACAGGAACGGGCAGAGAGGCTAGTAATAGAGGTAGCAATATAATATACAACAGTAGGGGTGGTGATAGCAACAGAAATAGTAATAGTCGCAGCAGTAGTAGTCTAGCCATACGAGGACGAATACTATTAGATGTTTTCCTTAACTTGATTTTCACTGCGCGAAAATCATTTTCGGAGTTGTTTTGGCAAAAAGTGAAAAAAAGTAGTAGTAGTAGTAGCAGTAGCAGGAGTAGTAGTAGTACTAGTAGTAGTAGTAGTAGTAGCAGCAGTAGTAGCAGCAGTAGTAGCAGTAGTAGTAGCAGTAGCAGCAGCAGTAGAAGCAGCAGTAGCAGTAGCAGTAGCAGTAGCAGTAGCAGCAAGATAAGTAGAATTAGTAATAATAGTAGTAAAGAAGTAATACTAGTTCTAGTAAGACTACGAGGAAGAAAAATAGTAGCCTCTCGTAAGCGGTTCCCCAGCAGGTATGGGTCCCGACCGGGCTTTGCCGAACAGGAACGGGCAGAGAGGCTAGTAATAGAGGTAGTAATATAATATACAACAGTAGTGCTGGTGATAGCAACAGTAATAGTAATAGCAACAGTTCTTAGTAGCAGTAGTAGCAGTAGTAGCAGTAGTTTCAGTAGTTTCAGTAGTAGCAGTAGTTGCAGTAGTAGCAGTAGTAGCAGTAGTAGCAGCCAGCACTGATCATTTGCAATTCCTGCAGCACTTTGGCAGATTATGTTGCGCAGGAATCCATTCATTGCAGTTGATTCCTCTTTCCAATTTGATTTTCAATTCGCGAAAATCATTTTCGGAACCCCCGGAAGCTGACAAAATAATTTTTTTGAGAATGTGGAACCGGCTTGGTTCCATTCGGTTTGCGTAAGAATAATTGGCGGTTCGGTTCGTGCCCATTCGGTTTGCGCAAGAATAATTGGCGGTTCGGTTCGTGCCGGTTCTTAGCCTGCCGGTTCCTGAACGGTTCGGTTCCCGGTTCACGGTTCGTTTCCTAAGCCATACTGCATGATATATTTATCCGTTTGTTATTTAATAGTGATTATTAAATGGGTTATATCCATTTATTGGTGATTGATATCGGATAGTATATCATGGTAAAAACAATGGTTGATATTAATATATTGTTGATATTTTTCGCCCTTTTCTCCACAGAACCTGATGTTTGCTCCTGTTTTCGCTCCAAGCGCGCGAATCAGGCACTCAAGAAGGTGCTAGGACTGGTTGGACAACTCCAACGACTGAAGCCGGCGAAGGAAAGGTTCAGCCACCATCATGGACCGTCCCTGTTTTGCGATAATGATTGGAGAAGGTCAACCGTGCTGCAGCGCTTTCTGACATGTTTTCTTTAAGCATCTTAAAGTTCCAACAATGTAAAATATGCTGACCAACAAGATAATCAAGATAATCAAGATAATCAAGATTTTTCATCAAGTGTCAAAGTGAAGCAACACATGATTCATCCAGCATCATTGTGCAGGTTTTTCGAGATCATCCCCTGGATTTGGGCATCGTTTTTTTTATCGGTTCGATATTTGGGTCTGGAGATGTAACCTGTTTCTGGAGAAATGATATATTTTTTTAAGGGAATCATGCCAGTTCTGATCCCAAATGCCATTATGTCAGGTTTGTGAATTCTTGAATCAGAAAATCATATCAAAATTATGTGTATATATATAACATATGATTATGATTTCTCCAGGAGTCATGGCATGGTGTTCCTTCCGAACATTCTTTTCTGTGCCATCACGCTTTCCTACGGCGCCTTTGCCCATGGCATCCCATGGGCATCCCATGGGGATCTAGGAGACTTTGATCAAATGGTTCAGCCAACTGCCACTGACAGTGCCTTGGGACAAAATGGATAAAGTTCAGACGAAAAAATCTCTGGTCCCCTTAGTCCTAAATTTTGACCCATTCCCACATATTATATATATAATATTATATATAATATTATATATAATATTATATATAATATTATATATAATATTATAATATTGTATATATATATATATTATCTCACCTCACCACTTCCGGCGCTTTGGAAAGCTTCACAACCTGACATGGTGCTGACACGGCGTGGTATTTCACCTGTGCAAAAACGTGGTAAATTGAGAATGAACCTTTAGTCAGGGTTTGGTAAATGTCCCATTTTGGGGATTTGTTTCACATCACTTTAAAGTATCTGTTGGAGATTATATCCCCAATATTTGGGTGATGTGAAAAATTAGGACATTTACCAACCCCTGTTAGTTGTCAAGAAATCAAGACATGTCCAGCCTCTTTACCCAAGGAAATCGTCCTTCAAAAAAGAACTTAGCAGCCGCTTAGCAGCTAGTTATTTGGTCCAATACAACATCGAAGCTTCCATGCCACAGGGTCGCACCATGGAAGCCATGCAGAGAATCTCATCGTTTCCATCCTAGGCGGCACTACCAAAATCCTTCATCTCAGCTACGGTGAGCTGCTGAAATGGGCTAAATGACTACTCTACTCCTAGTCCTAGTCCTACTAATCGTACTAATTCTCTAGAAGATTTTCCATAGGGTCCACCCCAAATTTACCATGGCTAGTCGTTTACCATCAATCCATTTTTTTGGGTGGTTTATGGCATTGCTTGCAGGTCCTAGAGAACCGACTGGGACAGGCATCGAGATCCGAGATTTCTTGGATGTCCGAAAGACCCGGCACGCCGGTGCCAACAAAAACCTTAGGTGGGTACTGTAGTAGAAGATATACAAAGTGAACAGAAGATAACAGAAGTAACAACTGTAGATAACTGATGATCATTCTAGGCTGAATGGTAGAAGATGGTAGAAGGAGCACCCCGAAAAAAGAAGAAACAACTAATTCATAGTGCATGCACGATGCAATGATGTGGCCGTTAACGGCAATCGAACACCTGCACATTCTTGGTTTACCACTTTACCCCAGAGGTGCTTTTCACAGATCCGCAAGCGCTCCCTGATTCCTCAACAGGTTCAACCTCCATAACGCCTTGTTTGTTCATGTTTTTTCTTTGCCTATCGTAGTGGTGTGGTGGTAGGAATGTTGCAGGGGTAACTCTTAGTATTATGATTTATGATGTTTACAATCCCATCCACTCTAAAATTAAGCACCGCTAGTGACCAAATATGCGTACATCTTCTACTAAACTGTGACTGGTTGGTGGTTTGGAATATGAATTTGATTTTCCCCATATTTTCCCCAATAGTTGGGATGATCCAATCTGACGAATTCATATTTTTAAGGGGGTAGGTCAACCACCAACCAGATATGTATTGGTAATTTAACATGGCTATTGAAAATGTTGATAGAAATAGTGGATTTACCCAGTTAGAAGATTGTGATGTTCCATCGTTTTTTGGGTGTTTACTAGAGGGTAAACCGTGATTTCTTGGGATTTTCCCTGTGACTGCCCAGCTTCTCAAAATGGCCCTGCAGATGCAGCAGTTCATCACGCTCGCGCTGCTAGAAGCGCAGGTGGGGAACAACAATTCATCACCCTGTTAGACTTGGGGAACGCCATCAGAAGGAAATGGGAAAATCTTGAAAAGCTGGGTTTTGGTGGTTGTTTTGAACCATCGAAGTGGGGATATATGATGATATATATGTATATATATATATAATTGAACATAACCCCTTCACCCTAATATTAAACGACCCCCCAAAGAATAAAACCTAGGGGTAGTTTTTATTGTTAGGATGTATTTCTTGTTCGGGGGAGAAGCTGTCCCCTAGTATTAAACTTAACAACCTTAATGAAAGAAACTAAAAAATGAGATTTCAAAATCGATCATTTTTTTTAATTGAATCAAGATACTGTCAAAATTGGATTTTGACGCTTTCATCTAATATTAAGTTTCTAAAAAATCGATGTTAAAATATGGACGACACTAATAAAGACCACCCTGGGGTCAACTAGTTTTTATATGTTTTTATTATTCAGGGGTAGAACCTTCAAAATTGACCGTGATTTTTAAGTTAGTTCCTAAAGGGGATCAAATAAAAGTCAAATTGACCAATCTGGAATTTCCAAAAACAAAGAATCTGGTGTAGTTTTTATTATTTGGGGAGGTTTTAGAAAAATAGGAAGAAAGGAAGAAAGCCGTGAAAAATGGGATTTGAGCCCAAATTTTGACTGAGGATAGCGGTTTGGCTCACTGAAGATATTGGAATATCATTACTACATGATGTTTGATGGGTTGATTGGTTTACCCTCTGGTAAACTATCAGTTTGCGAGCTGGAAAATCACCATGTTTAATGGGAAAACTCACTATAAATGGTCATTTTCAATAGCTATGTTAGTTTACCAGAGGGTATCTATGGGGGTTATTAGATGTTATTAGCCTGCCTGGTTTAGTCGGGATTTCGAAAAATAACATACGACATAAGCCCCTCATCCTGTCGGGATTGCCATTTACCAAGCAGTACTGAGATGGGATTGTGGTATTTTAGAATACTTTAGATGCTTCAACTGAAGATCACTCTGATCAATACTCAGAATTTTCTGGTGGCCACAAGTCAGGAATACTCAGTATAATGGAGATATAATGGAGATATGGAGTACATATGCCGAGACCCTCCCCTTCAAGTACCCAATGCTGTTTCACCGCTGCAGGGCGAAGGATTCACCCATCTGGAGGATGTGATTGCTGGGTTGCGCAGAGTGCTTTTCTCCGGATCGCTGGTGACACCGTACCTTTTTTATTTGTTTGCCAACTAGTGAAGTGATGGACTCAGGTTATATCATTGGATTTAATGTGGATTGGATGGGATATCAATCGCGTTTATTGTGATTTATATAGCTAGATACAACATACACTGTCAATCACTGTCATATGTGGTGTCTAAAAATGAGGTATATACCCACAACTTATGATGGGTTTTAACGAGAAACAATGATTGTAAACCGTAAAAAAATTGAAGTATCCAATTTTCAGATATACCCAAATCTTATTGTTCCAGGTTTATAAATGGTGGATCATGTTGGCACGAGTGGGTTTACCACGGTTTACCAAACACATATTAGATCAGAACTGAGAAAGATATGAATACAAACCACACCAGCCCGAAATCATCAGACATACACAAGAGTAACAAAAGGTCTGATATGTTTCTGATATGAGATATGCTATACTCAACTATTTCAGAATGGATGTGGCGGCAACGGCAACGGTGGCTTGTGCAACTTGTGCATCAAGCGTTGCAGGTGACCACACTCACTTTTAGTTTCATGGAAGGTGAGTGCAGGAAAACATGAGCCATTAAGAATACCCTAAGAAGACTACCTGGCTATTTGGAATTATGAAGTAACCCATCTGGGGGAAGCCATTAGATTTCATGAGATGGCATAGGCGTATTTTTAATGGTTCTCTTGAATTTGGTAATCCAAGACCTTTCCACATCTTTTTTAGTTGAGAGCCAAGGTTCCCGAGATCAACACGTAATCTCACAGCTATTTTCCCATATCCTGTCATGATTCTTAATGCTCTTAATGTTTGTATTTGTATTTTTCATCTACGGAGTGTTTTTGCAATACTATTTGTTTGGCTGGGACCGTAGGTGAAAAGAACATGTTCGTTTTTCCAAATCCTATTTTTTTTTCAATAGTTCCCCCAATCATTGGCCAATCATTTCCCAATAATTCCCTGGTTGGTGGTTGGGAACATGGCTTTTATTTTCCATTTCATATATGGGATGTCGTCCTTCCCATTGACGAACTCACATTTGTCATCATTTTTCAAGATGGTTATTGCACCACCAACCAGTTCCAATATTCCCCAATCATTGGCCATCGTTCAAACAGCTTGGTCAATTTGGTCAGCTGAAGGCCATGGCTCAAAAAGATGGCTTGGCAAGGTGCCTTCCCGTGGCCAACCCCAAAAAAGAGCTGAAGAGGTATGGGGAATGGTGGAATATTGATCGAATATTGGAGGATATATGATATGTGTATATATATATTAATAATATACAATGTGTATGGGTAATCTATAATATATACATACGTATATCGTATACATATACACATGATAATTATCATTATATTGAACTAGTGAAATATATGGATTGAAGTCCAGGCCTATCGGCCCCCACCCCAAGGAGCCCCACTCCATGTGAGCGGTTGCGCAAATGATGGGCGTTGCGTCTCATTATACCGTTTTAGTCACGAAAGTCCTAGTGTAATTATATTACAGTATCATTATTGTATATATATATATATACATAGTTTTTCACTCATTTACTCATTTGTAGATGATGTTCCCATTAAACGTCCATTGAGTTGGGGGATTTCCCATCGCTATGTTTGAGCACCGGACGGTACATGGTTTTCTTAACGACAACGCGAGGCACGTGCGGAACGCCCTCCGTTTGATGGATATTTGCTGGGGTGTCTTGGCAAAGTTGGTACCCTGCCTTATTCCCAGGATTCGTGGAGAATTTGAAGCTGTCTTGATCCTGGAATGGGCAACCAGATCATGATATTGGATCAATCCATTATCGCAAATCTGTTGCTCCAAGAAGGTGATCTATAGATTTATGATTCCAACATGAATTTATGGAATCGCTAATTAGTACAGTTTGGCTTCTCGTTACTTGTCTTATGTTCTTTTTGTCCACTTTTTGTCCAGTAAGTCAGTCCGACAAAAAAAGGTCCAAGAAAGTCTTCACTACGAGTTAAACACCTGAAAACTCATGGAATTTTGGCCTCTCTTTTGGGCCCCAAACTGATCCGCTTTTTTTGCCATGGGACAAGCCCCTGGGATTTCAGGCGCGAACCAAATTCGCTTGGAACATCAGCAGCACTGGCGCACTCGGCGCAAGGCCGCGCAATGGAAAATCCATGAAAATCCTGCGGTTTATAGGTGATTTTCCGATGAAACCTTCCGTCTTCTGGGGATTTCCCAGTGCTACGTTTGATGACCGGAGGGTATATATTATTTGATCTCTGTATATAATATACTAGTATGTGATATGTGTGTAAATATCATGTTTTTCGTAGAGCACTCCGGCGCAAAGAGAATTCAAAATCCACGGGATGAGTCTGAATCACAGCCATGATAGAAAAGACAAGGGACAGACCTTTCGTTGTTTCTTGCATCCTGATTATAATTATATATACTGTATATTATGTTAATCTATCTATCTAGCTATCTATCTATCTATCTATCTATTTTTTTATTTATGTATCTATCTATCTATCTATCTATCTATCTATCTATCTTATCTATCTATCTATCTATCTATCTATCTATCTTTTTTTTATTTATGTATCTATCTATCTATCTATCTATCTATTTTTTTTTATTTATGTATCTATCTATCTATCTATCTATTTTTTTTATTTATGTATCTATCTATCTATATATCTATCTATCTATCTATCTATCTATTTTTTATTTATGTATCTATCTATCTATCTATCTATCTTATCTATCTTATCTATCCTATCTATCCTATCTATCTTATCTATCTTATCTATCTTATCTATCTTTTCTATCTTTTCTATCTTTTCTATTTTTTCTATCTTATCTATCTTATCTATCTTATCTATCTTATCTATCTTATCTATCTTATCTATCTTATCTATCTTATCTATCTTATCTATCTTATCTATCGTATCTATCTTATCTATCTTATCTATCTTATCTATCTTATCTATCTTATCTATCTAATCTATCTAATCTATCTAATCTATCTAATCTATCTAATCTATCTAAACTATCTAATCTATCTAATCTATCTAAACTATCTAATCTATCTAATCTATCTAATCTATCTAATCTATCTAATCTATCTAATCTATCTAATCTATCTAATCTATCTAATCTATCTAATCTATCTAATCTATCTAATCTATCTAATCTATCTAATCTATCTAATCGATCTAATCGATCTAATCGATCTAATCGATCTAATCTATCTAATCTATCTAATCTATCTAATCTATCTAATCTATCTAATCTATCTAATCTATCTAATCTATCTAATCTATCTAATCTATCTAATCTATCTAATCTATCTAATCTTCTAATCTATCTAATCTATCTAATCTATCTAATCTATCTAATCTATCTAATCTATCTAATCTATCTAATCTATCTAATCTATCTAATCTATCTAATCTATCTAATCTATCTAATCTATCTAATCTATCTAATCTATCTAATCTATCTAATCTATCTATCTATCTATCTATCTAGCTATCTATCTATCTATCTATCTATCTATCTAATCTATCTTATCTATCTTATCTATCTTATCTATCTATCTATCTTATCTATCTTATCTATCTTATCTATCTTATCTATCTTTTCTATCTTTTCTATCTTTTCTATCTTATCTATCTTATCTATCTTATCTATCTTATCTATATATCTATCTTATCTATCTTATCTATCTTATCTATCTTATCTATCTTATTATCTATCTTTTCTATCTTATCTATCTTATCTTATCTATCTTATCTATCTTATCTATCTTATCTATCTTATCTATCTTATCTATCTTATCTATCTTATCTATCTTATCTAATCTTATCTATCTTATCTATCTTATCTATCTTATCTATCTTATCTATCTTATCTATCTTATCTATCTTATCTATCTATTCTATCTATCTTATCTATCTATCTATCTATCTATCTCTCTCTCTCTTTCATCTAAATACCCATCTAATTACCTATCTAATTACCTATCTATCTATCTATCTTTCTATCTATCTATCTTTCTATCTATCTATCTATCTATCTATTTATCTAATCTATAGGCCTTGTGAACACATGTTGGTTTGGAATGTCTTCAAGATGCCGCCTGAGAAATCTCCTCCGACCAGTACTGTATTTTCAACTAATTGTTGCTGTTGCCGCTGTGTTAAATAACCACCACTGACTGAGTTGCTGCCGAAGTTATCAGTTGATCGGCTCTAGCAATTCGACGATAAAAGACATGCAGAATGCAGTGAATACAGAATTCTCAGCATCAAGGGTCTAAGGACCCAGACTTTACGGATCTGTGACTGAAAAGTGCTTATGAAAGTCGCAGGGGTTTCCTTTGTGGCGCAGGTACCCTCAAGGTTGGCCTTGTCGGTTACAATTGTTGATTTTCAGCCCATATTTTAGTTCTATCCGCAAGCCAATTAGTTAGTTTAAGCAACTTAGAAACCAACTTAGCTAACATAAAAATCACCCAACAATCATATACAATCATCATAAACTGATGAAACCCATCATTTGTTAATGATTAAGATTGTTAAATACCGATCATTCACCTGGACAAGTCGAAACCCGGCAGGCGCAGCTGATGCGTCAGCAAGGGCAGGTCTTGGACGATGAGGCGACCATATCGAGTCCGAAGTCATGGGGGATCCCCGTTCGTCAGGGGATACCCCCATTGAAATCTCTAATGGTGAAATAAATGGTAGATAAACACATATAAACACTATGGACTAGGGTGATAATATGGTGATAATACGTTAATCATATGGCTGACTACGTTGAATATATGGTTATAATATGTTGTCGTATAGTATGCTATAATACATTTGAATGGTCCATAGTATCGTACATAATATGGTACAAGTATATGATATGGTATATACTCTGGTATATAATATGGTCATGATATGGTTTTCAATATGGTGACAATATGGTGGAATATGGGTTATAATTTATAACATTTATGATGTGGGTTGTAATATGTTGAATGGCACCATTTATGCTTGCAAATCATGATACATGTTTACTGAACAGACGAGACCACAACATGGAACTGGGTAAACATTGGGTGGGTGGTTCAATAGCTTCATTCTTCATCATACCGTATACATGGGAGAATGTAATGCACACCTCGATTTTTTGGTGTGTATGTCCAAAGGTAGCAATGATATCTAACAGAGGTATTATGATATGTGATGGAATCATGAGATATCATGGGTGTGTATTTGTACCTGAGCCAAATAATGTCCCTGATTTTGGAAGGTTTCGACCCATCGAATCTGGTAAATGAGGGCGGCAGCCAACATACTTGTACATATTTGATATATATATATATATATATATGTGATTATATATGTATTACGCATATATAAATATATATATTTACATATATATATGTCAAAGGGAACTAAGCGATAGCACATGTACAACAAGCATGTGATATATGCACGGGACCCCATATTGGCTCAAGACCCAGCAAGGAAAAGTGTCGCGTGCGTTGCTGTCTAATGGACTAATAAGCTCGACTACTAGCATTCCAGGGACTCAAACAGGGATAACATCCAGGACAAGGATCTATTTGCTCACAGGTTATCAGCCGTAAGGGCTCAATTCTCCCGTCGGGAGAGGAGTACCTGCGTGCTGGTAGCCGGGCTGTCCGAGCAATTGATTGTGGACGCAAAGGACCAATCAGCTCATCATCGCAAAGATGCAAGGTGGCAGCGGAGATTCACGCAACACACAGTTTACCTTCAATGAGAACACTGCTATGCCGGTCGAGGAGGTCACTCAATCTTCCCCTGGCGACACGGCAGACAGTGGTGGGATACGCTCTACCCGAACTACACAGTCCGGATGGCAAGTTACATCAAACAGACGAAGAATATCCACCCAAAGTACACCAAGATCTTCTCGAAACAGTGCTCGAAGTGATGTTGTCCGCCAAGGGCATCGACCATCTCGAGGACGAACTACCCCAAGGGACAGATCCACCAGGGCCGTAACCGACCGAATTGGTGAGAGGACCGGGGATAGTCGTGTTAAGAGGAGATCAACGGATACTTCTGTGGCTAGTGAACCTATTGCCATGATAGAAGAACTACGGGCACAATGTCAATCCCTACGTAATCAGTTGAACCACATGGAAGCATATGCTGCATCAAGAGATCAACTGATTCATGACATCGAGATCAGATTCACTGAGTATCTTCAGGAACACAACCAGAATGTAGTTGATGAGGTCAATGCACTCAATCATAGATTGTCATGTTCCGCAAATGAAGTTGCAGAATATCAAGCAGAACTAATGGTAGCATCTCAGGAAGATGAAGGTGCAACAATACGCGTCCAAGACCTTGAACGCCGAGGTGCCCTGATGGAACATGGTGCAAGACGGATCCATCAACGCGGTATGGAGATCCAGGAAGAGTACAAGGATGAAGTACATCACCTTCAAGGACTATTGGGTAATACGGAGGCAAGACTGCAGCAACTTCACCAGACCAATGTCTTAACTACCGATATTGCCAACCGATTGTACACTGAAGGTCAAGAAATGCAGACGGATTTCCAGAACTCAATCGTGGAATATCGTAATCGATCCGAAATGGCATCCTTCTCAAGCAATCAACTTGAAATGATTAGCCAACAACAATCAATTGCAGTTCATGAATTATCTGAACGGAATCAGCTATTGAGTGAAGCTCTAGTTCAGTCTCGTAAACAGGCCGAGTTGTATGAAAGCAGTATTGAAGAGATCACTAGGGAATCTAGAAAGAAGGTTTTCGAGGCAAATCAGGCCAAACTGGAAAGTGATCTGAAGCACCGAAATACTGAACATGATACTGTCAGAAGAATTGCATCGTACAGGAATCATGAGGCCGAAGCGATATCACACCTGAGGCTTGAATCACAGGCTAGTGCAAATTCGATCGCAAGGGCAGAGCACTATGAAGAGCTCTACGCCAACGAGCAGGAGATGAACTGTGAGTTGAAGGATGAGATCAAAAAGCAGAACGTGAAGTTGCGAAGATCATTGACTCAGGGTACTACGACCGACGGCCGTGGCCCTGATGAGATGCTTGTTGAAGACCTACGAAACCAAGCCAAAATAGCTCAAATTAGAGTTCAGGATCTAGACCATGAAGTTCATGAATGTTTACAGGAGAACATGTTGTTAAAAGAAAGATTGACTGAAGTTGCGGATGTAGGGGCGTCGTCCTTCTCCAACGCTGAAGTCCGAACTTTAAGGTCTGAACTAGAAAGTGAGCGCAAAATGAAATTGGCTAGTGGTGTTCAACAATATGAGAGATCATGCATGTTTATGGGGGAAATTCAGGATAGGGATGAAAAGATTGGTATCAAGAATTCTGAGATTATTGACATGAAGCGTCACTTAGATGAACTGAGAAAAAGTCTCAAGGATTCTGAAACATCTATGTCTAGGGTCAGCCCTGATACACTTCCCTATTCGGCAGGCATCCCCAACTATGATCTCGCATCAAGACTGGTCATCGACAAATTGGAGAATGAGGTGAGTGAGGCCAACTCTGAGAACACTATCCTAAAATCTTGGGTATCACAGATCAACAAGGAGTTGACCTACGAGACGAATGCTGCTCAATCTTACCGAGGACATGCTGGATCTTCTCAACAGCAACCTTCTCAATCGAACAAAAGAATCACCGATCTGCTGAAAGAAGTTGACAACAAGATCGCCGATGGAACTGAGAAGGACTATTACAAGCCTCCGAGCGGATGGGGCGGTCCGCCGGACCCTGATGGACCTCCTGACCCTTTCGGGCCCAATGGTCCAGGACCACCTCCAGAACCTCCTGGTTTGCCTTCAGTTCGAGGATCACAACGTGATTCAGCAGATGACATCTCCACAGCGGCGTACACGGCAGAAGAAGTACCGAGAATGTCAAGACGGGAGGCTGACAAAGTCTACGTTAGCCCATGGCCGAAGCAGCAGAACCTTGGGATTTGGCAGTCAGATCTCATCAAGAGTGTTGTTCTTGCTGCGAATGATGGAGACAAAGCTGCGTGGGAAGCATGGTTACAGCCGGCTATTCGACCAAATCCTGACATTGAGCTATTGAATGACAGTGGAGGGCAACGATATCAATCAATAGACGCCAAGTTGTCAATTGCATTGTCAAACGTTATAGCCCAAGCCGGTGATGTTGCTCGTCATGTAGCAATCAAACTGAGATTGAGAACACAGAGTCATAGCCGAAGAGGAACCTATGTTATGGGACGAGAAATCTTGGCTATGATCCTGGAACACTTCAGAACCCCAGGTCAACGAGAGACAGCCTTCACCATGGAGCACATCGTATCGATGAAATATCTCGGTGACTCAAACCTGGAAGTGTTCTATGAGAAATGGATGGAGATGGTATCAAACATGATGCCGGATGATGTACCTCCTGATGATTGGCTTCGTGATGCTCTATACAAGAAGATTCGAAATTCGAGTCTTATGATGTTCGACATCAAGCAGTACGAGTCATGGATTGAAGGAGATCAAAGACGAAGCTATCGATATCTGTTGGACGTCATCGAAAGGCACATCTCCAGAATTAGAGAGGACGAGCATGTGGCCGCTAGGGAGAAGTACGCAAGAGACTTTGCGGGCGGCGGCAAGCCTACTGCTCCTGCCCCGAATCCAACTGCTGCTGCACCAGACGCCAATCCGAAAGCGAAGCCTAAAGCCACTCCCAAGGAGAAGGCAGCACCTAAGGCGAAGGCCAAGGCCGATGCAGCTCCAGTTCTACCATCACCTCAACCGAAACAGCATGCAAAAGGAAAAGGGAAAGGTCAAGGGAAAGGAAAGGATCGAGCAAACAGCCGAAGTGCTAGTCCTAGATCCAAGAAGAAGATCCCATGCCATTTCCATTTCATCAAGAAAGCATGCAGAAAAGGCAAAGATTGCGAATACAGTCACGACCAAAAGGTGTTTGATGCGAACAAGAACGCAAAAGGTAATGGTCGAAAGCCAGGAACTCCAAGAAGTCAATCTCCAGCAAACAAGACCAAAAAGATTGATGAACCATGCTGGCACTGGGCCAAGGGCAAGTGTCGGTACGGAGACAAATGCAACAAACGTCATGATCCTCATCTATTCAACACTGCTCCAAACACCGAAGCACCAAGCCCAAAGGCTACTCCTGCACTTGTCCATGAATGGAGTGATGACGAAGGAACATTCCACAAGGTTGCATCGAATGTCGTCAAGAAGAAGGTCGGATTCGATGAATCCAAGATTTGCATCCAAACATATGTGAAGAAGGACTTCGTGAAGTGCAGCCGGAGATCCCAGACCATCCCCAAAAGTCATGGTAAAGTTGGTAAGCCCACCGATCAGATAAGGCAGGATGAGCAATGGTCTTATTCATGCAGACTAGCATCGAGCCGAGGGAAGGCAATGGCTATCCTGATCGATGAGAAGGGTGAGTACAGTGACATTGATGAAGTCCTGGTCATCGTCGGCCCCAACCTGGACATTCTGATCAGACTCGACATCGAGGACGGTGAGGTGTCCAGGGAAGTCTTTGTGGAGAACTATGTTCAGCATATTGAGGGTCGATATGGTAAAAGGGGCAACACAATGTGTAT